GGATTTCAAATTCTAGTAATCATTTTATTATGCACTATTTTTCGTTTGTATTTTTTTCTTGTTCAGTTAAAATTTTATTCAGCCAATTTGTATTGGATACATAACCAAATTAAAAGTACTTTGTAATACACTTCTTGACTTTTAATAATAGTGTCTCGTTTTGACAAACATAAGGGAGTCCAAGATTTTTGGCGATTGTATATCATCTGCGAAATCGATAGTTAAGGAGAATAAAGAATTTACCTATATAAATATTGAAAAGAGTGTGCCTAGTACGGTACCTTGTGGAACACCATACTCAACTGAATGAGGATTACTTGATACTCCATTTATCTTACTACTTGCTCTTCATTTAATAGATAGCTATCGAACAATTTAGAGGAATATTTTTTATCGAATACTTTCGACAAAACTAAGTATATAGACATGGGTTTGAGTCACTTATTGAGGAATACATTTTAGATAACTTTTTTTCGCGGCAATCGAACTGTCTGTCTGAAAAAATATATCATATTTTCTTAAATAAGATGTTAAACTTGAGTGGATGATTTTTTCAAACAATTTGAACAAGTGAGTAATGATGAAGGATATTGGTCTATAGTTTTCGACGCCATTATTAGAGTTATTGTCTATTTTTTTCTTATATAATAAGCAAATTTAGCCCTTTGTATAAGAGATGTTGATTTATTTTTGTAATTTGTTATATGCGCGCTTTAAATTGAAACTATTGGGATCCTTTTGCAGAGATTTATGAATTGATTTTTTTTATTTGCAGAATTCAGCAAGCTATCAATAATTCATGGTATAGGTTTAATATTTTTTCTGAAAATGTGTTTAGTAAAGGAAGGCAATCGCGGTCCTATCGCGACTGTGCATTCGGCTATTGTTCGTGATAATGTAGTAATAAACTTGGATACTGCTCCTGCTTAACCAAGAGGTATTGTTTATAATTTAAATTAAGTTTCTATTGTTTATACATTTTTATAGTTTTCAAAGCTCTGTTCAGATCTGTTATTATTTGTTGGGAAGACTATTTGTAAAATGGGTATTTATATACAGTATTGGCTATATTGATTATTTTCCAATACGATTTAGTCATGTCGCAGCGAAAACTGCAGAGAGTTAGCGTTAAAGCGAACAGGAAACGAATAATTACAACGTTGCCTTGTGCAATGTGTAATGTAAAGAGACACACGGCGATATATATATGAAGGAGTTAGAAGCAAAAGGGTCCAAGTGGTATTTTTTTTAAATGAGTTAAGTATACTTAAACCGTTTTGCCTAGAATAAACTATACACGTTTTCAATAACATGCTTTTTCTACCAGCTAATAGATGTCGTTAAGACATCAACATTCACTTGTATCGTTTTACCACCAACAAAAAAATAGTTTTATATAACGAAATATGCATTTAAAAAAAATGTCACTTGTACTCTTTTGCTTCTAAACCCTTCATATTTCCATGTGGCTGGCTGGCTACGTTAATATTATTCCCTACTCGTACTAATACTAACTCTCTGTAATTTTCACTTGGTCTCTAGCAGTGTATTGGAAAATGTTCGATAGCCGACACTGTATAAATTGTTGCAAAAAATTGTTACTAATTATCTAAAAAATAACTATTTACTTCACGTATTTCATTTATTGCTTTGTTAATAGGTAACACACATTACCTTATCTGCAAATTGGTATCCTCAATTAAATAAAACCAATTACAATTGTGGGTATATTATTTATGGGTGATGTGATATAGAACGTTCGAATGGCTTACGTACAAGAGGCTAGAACCTTTTTACCCCTAATCCAGAATCAGTTTATTGCTAGTTGATCTAACTCATTATTGTAGGACACAAAAATCCATATTTTTGATTGTAGAACCAGCTTATATTGTCAAGGAAAGGTAATGCCCACCTTGCCTTGTCGAAAATGGGTTAATAAAAAGGTATTAAATTTTAAAATTTAGACAATTTAACATAACAAATTTATCAACTCCCCACTAATTTATTATTGGAAAAACGATGACAACCGATACTAGTGGATCAAACATTAACTATCGACAAATTTCTTTATCATCAGAATGAATAAAAATATAATAGGTACTCAAGAGATGTGCGAATGATTAAAAATCAAATCTATAACTGATTTTAATGATAAATATAATAAGTGTAAATTACCGCTCACGTTACGCAATATATTTAAAACGAAATCAATTTTAACATTTCCGCGTATACAGGGTCATTCACAATGAATTTTACACAGAGCAATGACACCAAAATATGACCTTAGTAAAATGTTGATAGCCAAAAAGTCATATCTGTTAACATATGAAGCGTCCCCTCGTAGAGTAAACCAAAAATTTCGAAATACCAAAATTAATTTATAGGTATTAAGAAAAAACAACTATTTTAAAAATAATTTAAAATTTTACTTTTTACTAATTTATAAAATAAAATAAATTTGAGAAAAAAAAAAAAGATTCTGGATTTGAATCCTTCGCATGCCAAATTAATACTCTGTGCAAAGACAACTAATTTTTTTCAATGCTTATAATTAAATTGGTCATCAATGAAAGTGGTACTAAAATTGGAAACCATCTTTCTAAGAATACATAGATAAAATTCTTGAGTTTTTCTTTCCTAAGGTTTTATTAAATTTCCCAGTAAACCATAATAATTACTTACCTGATATTTGTGAAAATTTTGGCAAGAAATATATGCACCTCTGTATCAGATACAGCAGTTTATTATATCACATATTTAGTAATTTTATTGAGAACTTATTTGCAGATACGATTTTTAGTGGCTTATCTGATCACTCTTGTCAAGTTTTGAGATATGAAATTAATATTCCATCTATTGTAGAAAAATAATAGTATGTACCTATAAAATATTTAATATAACAAATTATCATACATCAATATAATAAAATAATATGTGCTATCTTGAACAACAACACAATAAATTACTAAATTCTCAGTGTTCTTTCTAATTATGAATAATTTATATAGTTTTTTGCAAATTTTTTTTGGTTATTATAAATTTTTATAATAAACCATATTAAATTTTTCTTCGATTTTAATGAAAATTGATGTAGATATATGTTATTAGAAGTTTTTGTTTTCCCCAGCTGCGACTAATTGAATTATGTTTTCAATATTCATACTGATAGAAATAAAACACCTACATAGATCGTCTGTATCTTAAATGGTTTAGACGTTATTAAAATTTATTTAAAAAAAATGGGTTACTCTATTTAAAGATCTTACCATTTTTTTTCTCTATCCAACCATGCATCAGAATAATTTTTATTTTTTACAATATTTGACAACGAACTGTTCTTTAAAAAATTGGGAAAATATAGCTGGGATTGGAATTAGAATTTGTGTTTTCTGATTGACTTCAAATCTATGATTTAGGATATCAAAACCATGTGTATCGATAGCTTAATTGGTAAGAGCAGCGCCGATCACAGTCCGAAAGGTTTCAGATTTGACTCCTGGGGGTCGATTCTCGACTCGTAGGAATATTTTCCTATAGGAATTTTTGACATTTTTATATACATCGAAAATTTATGACATTTTCCTACATATAGGAAAGTGTCACAAATTCCTATAGGAAAAGGTTCCTACAAGTCGAGAATCGACCCCCTGGGGGTCGATTCTCGACTCGTAGGAATATTTTCCTATAGGAATTTTTGACATTTTTATGTACATCGAAAATTTATGACATTTTCCTACATATAGGAAAGTGTCACAAATTCCTATAGGAAAAGGTTCCTACAAGTCGAGAATCGACCCCCTGGGTTTGTTTTCACTTTGGGATATATGAGGGTGTCATTTTTATAATTTTGTAGAGGTATTGAGAATTTTTCATTTTTATATTTCCAAAATTGTATTTCACTTTTTCGGATTTCAACCGATTTTTCTCACTTCACTTTCTTTCATTAAAATTTTATTTATTTCTTATAATTTTTGTAAATACTTGCAATGATATGTTATATTTATGGGGTTATGAAGATTTTATTTGAATTAATCGCAATATTTGTAAAAAATTCTGTATTCTGTAATGTCAAAAAAAATTGAGAAGGATCTCTCACCAGAAGCTACAGATACAGGTAAAGTAAGCAGGATTCTTAACGAAATGGTAATATTTGGTAGAGATGAAGTTAGATTGTTTTCAAATATATATTGTAAAATGTCGAGGGGATTTGACGCTTCAGGTAATGAAAACAATCTTAGGGCTTTTATATCATTAAATAAATCATTTTCTTCTACGTCAGCCTCCTCCTTTTTCGGATCAGTTAGCTTTTGCTGTAGAGCACGACAGCATTTTAAAAGATCCTCATCATTTAATGTAAAAATCTGATGTGTCCAACACATGACTTTCCTATCTAGTTATTATAGGCTTTTTCCGGTTATTTTGTACAACCTATTGCAGCTCCTCTATAAATATTTAGAGGATAAACTAAATATATACATTTTCTACATACGTCTACCTCGAAACATTTTTCTATATAGATATTCATTGAAAACGAAAATACTGAAAAATTTAAATGTAGTACTCTTTCTCCAATTTTTTCATTACGGTCCATTTTAGAAAAATCATATATAAACAAAAATTATAGAGATCGATATCGCAAACAACTTTTAGTTCAACAATTTTCATAAAAATCAGAATTTTGCAAATTTTGTCAAATTTCTCAAATACGGACCATTTCAGGAAATTTTGACATAAAGCAAAAATTATAGATAATAATATTAGAAGTAACTTTTATTTGAACAATTTTCTTCTCATAACAGACATATTCCATAAAATATAAAAACGCCCCCCCCCCCCCCCCCCATAAAGTACACCCCAGATGTTCCGACTTTGTCCAAAATCTAATCATTTCACGTCAGGCCGAAATAAAACGTAAGTTTAAAATTTAATATTTTTTTCTTTATCCGTTTTTGTTTTCGACCTAGTGCCTTGTTCATTGGAATCGTTAGAAAAATTAAAAATTTGAATTGTATACAGACCTCCGGTTTGGCGCCCCTTTAGAGGTGCATTGCACGCGCAGTTGCGGGGGCCCTGCTTATTGAACCACCATTTGAAGGTCCTACTACTTTCCCATTCACCAATTCACTCCCTCATCATCGTCATTCGTCACATGGTGAGACAGCCCATGGTGGAACCTCCCAGTGGTCACTTATTCACGACGTGACCGGAGAGATCACTATTTAATTATTGCATTTAGATGCACACTAATCTTGCAGCTAGCCTCTTCGGCATGATCAATCTATATAAATATCTATCATTGACCCTGTCAAATCATCAGGCCCACAGGGTTGCCATATCTGGGGATTCCTATCTTGAGACTTTCATATGTCACCTGTTGGTGACATTAGATGACAGTTGGCGACACTGGTTATGATAAATAAACCTGCGATGAATAGTGAATGAACTCAAATAACAAAATAACACGATCCGGTTGTTGGATGTTGTTATAAAAGATAGTGCTACTAAAAAGCAGGTTCCTGCTTTCCTTTATAGTTAAAATTTATTATTTACAAATACATTTATATATTTAAAAAATTGTTATTTACAGGAAGGCAAATCCCAGAAATTATTGATTTTGTTTTCAATAACCTATCTTTTTTACCACGTGGAATAATTTTATTTTTAAATGGTTAAAAACGAGGAAAATCACTCAAATGTAAGTACACTACACATAACAAATCGATAATACAATTTAAGTCTATTTAAGAAGACATAGAAAATCTACTTAATTACATTATGAGGGTGTTTATATCTAGCAATTTTGCTTTCAGCACTTTAAAAACATGTTTAGTTCAAGTTCGAGTTTTATATGAATTATTTATAAATAATTTATATAGACTGGATCCGCATAATAATAAAATTAATCGCAAAAAGCGTTCTAAACACTTGCCACATACAAATAATTGGTAAATTTATTTTAGAACATGGGTGACCAAAATCATGATAACAATTCCAATAAGAGTACTCCAGATCTTGATTTAGAAGATGGGCTAAGTGCCGAAGAGATGATCAATAAAGGCAGCGGTCTGACATACAAGTATGTATTTAAATTATTAAATATATTAACATGAAACTTTGATATTATCAAATCCTCCATTTATTAATGTTTTGGCAACTAATGGGTACTTATTTCTATATTTTTGAACCAATATCCCTTTTCTAATATGTTTATCTAGCAGTTTCTCTAAAGTCTTTAAGTATCTCTCTTTTTTTAGAAGCTTCCATAGTTTCAATCAACTTCCTGATATTATTAAAAATAGTAATTCTGTAAATAGCTTCAAGACCAGTCTCATTAAATTCATTCATGAACAGCATATATGTAACTTTTATATGTTTTAATTTTATGTATTATATATGTTAAAGGTAATTGTCTTTATTACTTTCTATTGTAATTTTTTTTACTTTTTTTATTGCATTTTTAAATTAATATTTGTATATTAGAATTTCCTATTTAAATAAAATATTTATCTATCTGGTCTTAGAGACTTTGTCTTAATGTTTCGCCATGGTCTTGGTATGTATCCAAAGACCAGGCTACTTCTAAGTTTCTTCTGTATAGAATATCAGGTCCTCATTGTAACATTATTGGGTAAATTCCGTCAATTCCCAGTGAGTTGTATGGTTCAAATGAGTTGATTGTCTGTTTTAGTTGGTCATAATCCACCACTTTATTGGCACTCTGCCAATTTTCCCTGTTGGCTATTATATAAATATAATTAAATCAAATCTTTAAAACCTACAATATAGGCACAGTTTGTTCAGGTACTAAATTTTTAAGAACTTAATTTTATTAATTTTTTTTAAATGTCTTATTTGTGGGAAACTAAATCAAAAACTTATAATTAATCAGCCAAATTATGTATGTGAAATTTCCTTATCACAAACTTTTGTAATATTTATGTAGAAATTTTATAACAAATTTCAACTTAATAACAAAATTTAATATTGGATTAAGTGTGGTAATACTGATAACTAATTTTTACTTGCTTTAAGGTATATTTTGATATTAAATCTGCCTTCAGTAATGAAATAAATGAGTCCTATTTGTGTAGAACATTGGTAAAGAAATGGTAAAGAAATTAAATAGTTTGCTTTAAATGAACCAAAAAAACTGTTTTATCCTTTTGTCAAATATTTGGATTGTTATTGTGTATATTTCTTAAATGTTTTCTTATCGCATGTAATGATGAAAAACAAAATTAAGTTTAAATACTATCAACATTTAAAAAATTATTGATGAAAAATGTATTTATTATATTAGCTAACCTGGTAAATAATAAAATCCTTTGAGAATAAATAAATCTTTTGAATAATAGGTCAATTGTTTTTTATTGAAATGAAAACAAAATTATTGCAAATATTCAATTTATATAATTTCTTAGGCAATAAAAACATTGTGTATATTTCTTAAATGTTTTCTTATCGCATGTAATGATGAAAAAACAAAATTAAGTTTAAATACTATCAACATTTAAAAAATTATTGATAAAAAATGTATTTATTATATTAGCTAACCTAGTAAATAATAAAATCCTTTGGGAATAAATAAATCTTTTGAATGATAGGTCAATTGTTTTTTATTGAAATGAAAACAAAATTATTGCAAATATTCAATTAATATAATTTCTTAGGCAATAAAAACTTATCATTTATTTTTAGAACTTTACACATTTAATGAAAGTTACAAAACATATAATAACAAATATATCTATGATATTGCTAACAAATTAAATATTTTTTTGTTATTTTGATAGTGGGACCAATAAAACCAGATATTAAAAAAAAATCATTAAGTTGATAGGATTTGTAAATAATACACAACTCAAAATGTAAATTTGAATGATTGTAACAGTAGTACATTTTTAAAGTTAAACCTGAAAGATATTAAAATCCTAAAATATTCCTGATAATTTTTTGGAAAAATGGTTGTTAAATCTGAGATTTTTCACAACTCCAGCATGGCTTACTGGAGTAATTAATCAAAGGTAATTGAAGAATGAAACTGATTGAACTATAACAAAACATTTATCGAAAATGACCATACTATCTCATACAGCAGTCCAGAGGATGTTGTAAATATCCCAGAAGATAAAGTCTATGAAATGCAGATCTAATAGTATGATATAATTTTAAGTCACATGCAAGTAGTAAAATATTTGAATGCACCCCTTTATATCATATACATGTTATAAAACATTTTTTTGTTTTGTAATAACATAGATATTGAGATGATTGAAATATTTCTTGTACTACCATACAAAGTGGGCAATATAGTTTTCTGGCATAAAGTAGATTTGATTAAAAATAAGTTCCCTCAGCTTTATGAATTTTACCTACTCTATTGTAGTTTTCACTGCATGGTCTTACATAAAACACGATATATAGCCATTCTGATATCTGGTATAATTCACATTTATATCTAATTTATAATTTCGTTCATAAAGAATAGAACTATTTTCATATAATTTTAATAAATATAATTTTTTAGTGATTTTATCATATTACCTGGATATATTGATTTCCTGCCTTCTGAAGTGGTGAGTTCACATTTTTTTAAATTAGTTCTTTTAAAAGTAATATTACTTATTGTTTCTAGGAACTTGCCAGTAGGTTGACAAAAAAAATTACTCTGAAGGCACCTTTTGTATCATCACCTATGGACACAGTTACCGAAGCTGACATGGCCATTGCTATGGCTGTGAGTTAAATTTATAAATTTAATAGAATTGCATTGCTATAAGTCATATTTTTTTTTTAGCTTTGCGGTGGTATAGGTATTATACATCACAACTGTCTACCTAGTTACCAAGCCAACGAAGTAAGCAAAGTAAAAAAATACAAACATGGTTTTATTCATGACCCAGTAGTTTTGTGTCCAGCAAATACAGTTTCTGACGTACTAAAGGTTAAAAGCGAGCATGGTTTTTGTGGGGTACCCATAACAGAAAATGGAAAAATGGGGGGAACACTAGTGGGAATAGTCACATCTCGCGATATAGATTTTTTAGATGATCTTAATTTTGAAAACATAAAACTAGAACAAATCATGACTAAACTAGAGAACCTAGTAACAGCTCAATCAGGGGTAACCCTTTCTGAAGCAAATCACATATTAGAAAAAAGCAAAAAGGGAAAATTGCCCATAGTAAATGCCCAAGGTAGCTTAATAGCCTTGATGGCAAGAACTGACTTAAAGAAAGCTAAGAATTATCCAATAGCTTCTAAAGATGACAATAAACAGCTAATTGTCGGTGCTGCCTTGGGTACTAGGGAAGAGGACAAAGCAAGATTGGCTCTTCTGGTTCATGCTGGAGTAGATGTAGTTATTTTAGATTCGTCTCAAGGAAATTCGATCTATCAAATAGATATGATAAAATTCATAAGAAGCACTTATCCTAATTTGCAAGTCATTGCTGGAAATGGTAAGAATTTTGTTCACTTTTAGAAACTATTACATAAGCACAAATATATTCCATCATCATCTTTGATTCTTCTATACATTTTAATCCTTGGACTGCTTTATTAAGTTTTTATGTTTTTTTTTTTGTTGAATCACACTAACATTTTTCAAACTGGAAATATTTCTAATAGTCCATTTTCCTAATATTATATGAATATTATCGAGCGAACCGACTATGGGCGCTAAAGTTGGAAACTGAGTTTAAAAACTATTTGCTACATTTAAAAATCATATAATTTCGGAAACACCGATGGGATTCTGCAGAACAATGATCAGTCAAATATAAAGTGGTTTTAGCATTTTCACATGGAACAGATTTGAACAAACAATACAACTATGATTAGCCTAAACATTGTTTATACCGAATCCATGTTATAGTAGATTTTGAGTCAAATATACTCTCAATATAGTTATAAAATTGTTCAGTTTCAAAGTCACATGCCAAGCGAATTTAAATCCAGTAAAAAGGAGTTTACCTGACCCATGTCGGAGCCTGAAGGGGCGGCATCATACAGTTTATTCTTCAAAAGAATGAAGAACGCACTAAGGGAAGAGGACAAGGAAGATTGTAATAGAGCGAAAACATGGAAAACCAATTTAGATAAGATAAAATCGATAGATAATTAAAAAGACCCCCAAGGAAAGTAAAAAAAGCACACAAATAACTCAACCATATTTGTCGAAAAAGAGGAAAATAAAAACTGAAAAAATCTCTCACTATATCTAGACCAATAAACAAGACATGGGTTTGATTTCTAGGACTTTCCAAAGAAGAAATTAATGAAGATCTTCTTCATCTTGTTATAGCATTGAAATAAGAGCTATTTACCACATGACAACTAAAAACCAGAAAGGACCAAAAAGCTGGGAAAATAGGCAAATAGAAAACGAATCAATCTAGTATACAGTCAGTTTGAAGATGAAAAACAGCACAGGGGCTGGGATTTACCATGTGAAGTCAGGGAGGACCATTAGTCTGAATCTGGGGCACTGACAACAGTCTTCCAGGCTGAAGTAACAGCAATAAATGTCTGCGCCAAAGTTATGCTAAATTACTTTTTAGAGATATCAAGGTCTTTAGGCAGTCCTTAAAAACCCTTAATATTTAATTGCCAACAGTCCCCCCTCCAGGCCCTGGCAGAACATAACAAGGTCAAATCAGAACCATACTAAGTTTGATGCAATAACACATCATTTTAAGAATCTAACATGTACAGAGATACAGGAATCTAAAAAATAATAAATGTTTGTTGGTAACAATACTATTAAACGTGCCAATCTCTGTTTCACATAAGAAACGTGTCATTTATTTCTAATTAACTAACATCAACAAGTAAATATAATTTAGTATTTTGATAATGTTTATTTCTAAACGTTATTGGTAAATCTTTATATTTTTTATTTAAATTAATCATATTAAAAACAAATTCAGAAGAAGGTCGTGAATAATAATGGCAAATAAATATTTACGATGAATACAAATTACATTTTCTGACGTCAACGTTATTATTATTGAAATATGGTTCAATATCTTAATCCAATGTTTTCATTTTTACGAGTATGTTATCTGAAAAATGTTAAATACTTCATTCACATTGTTTAATAATAGTAATTAGTTGTCTAAAAATTATTAACAAGGTAATAATTTCCCATGTCATGCGACCACCAAAGTTTTAGCGAAAAACCATTTTACCGTAGGAAAATTTCAAATTTTTCGACACCTTCCGATAGAGACATTTTAAGAACGCATTTATCTTAAATTTTTCATAAAATTCTAAAAAATCGCAAGGATAATTCTTCGAGGTTTTTTGATTTATTTTAGGAGCAGTTTTCCCCGTAAAAGCGTTTATCCAAATTTCATCGATTTTACTAGGAAAGTTCGATGCCAGATTGTGAGAAATATCGCGATTTTTAGTTTTTCCAGAAATTTGGAAAGGGAGGAAATTAAATTTAGTAAAATCTTATTTTCAGACTTAAAAAGTTTGAAATTACATGTCGTCATTGGTTTAAGAACATCTCCTATGTGTAATATCACAAACATTTTAGTAGACACAAGAAACTTTTTAGAACTTCTTGTAAAAGTGCACACATACAAGGTATTAATTATTAGACGACAATGTATTTTAATAGCTTACTAAACACATGAGATATTTTAAATTTATAGGGAGCAACTAGATCTTCAATTATGGTACCAAAATATTGGCAAATAATACATATAGGAGGTATTGCTAAACCACCGATGATGTATGATTGTGAATAAATGTATTTTCATAACATGTTATTTTAGATATTACAAAGTAATTAGTTCACTTATCAATGACCTTTTTATGAATATTGGCTTCTACATCACAATTATTTTCACTTCATATACAGAGTGAGACAAATGCCTCTGAAACTCTTAATTCTACGAAATTTGTTATTTAAGGATAAAAATCATGATATATATAGTGCGATATTATATCAAACCCTAAACCCTTCGAAGAAAATCAAGACTTTTTTTTAAACTTAAGACTTTAATTGTATTCTGATTATTTAAAGCTATATCTTTTATAGTTGTTACCAAAAAACAAGCAAAGAATCTAATTGATGCGGGCGCTGATGGTTTAAGAGTAGGGATGGGAAGTGGAAGTATTTGTATAACTCAAGAAGTAATGGCCGTTGGACGACCTCAAGCTACTGCCGTGTACAAAGTTAGTCAATATGCCAAACATTTCGGAGTACCTGTCATTGCTGATGGCGGTATCCAATCAATTGGTCATATCACTAAAGCACTGGCCCTTGGAGCTTCTACTGGTAAAATATTAAGACTACTATACTAACTAGTACCGTGGATCATAAATGCAATTTATATTTTAGTAATGATGGGCTCTTTGTTAGCTGGTACCTCAGAGGCACCTGGAGAATATTTCTTTTCTGATGGTGTAAGGCTTAAAAAGTACCGTGGAATGGGTAGTTTGGAAGCAATGGATCGTAAAGATGCCATGGGATCTGCTATGAATAGATATTTTCACAAGTAATTAAAAAATATTCGAACAATGTATTCTTATTAATGTTTATATTTTTTCTTACAGTGAGGTTGATAAACTCAAAGTCGCTCAAGGCGTCAGCGGCAGTATAGTTGACAAAGGATCAGTATTGCGGTTTGTACCATATTTACAATGTGGTATTAAGCATGGCTGTCAAGATATTGGTGCCAGATCATTAAATCAACTTAGGTGAGTATATATACAAGAGTAGTTCAAAGAAAACTTGGACAACTGTTAACTTTGTCCTATTATAAAGGGCGGTAGAAGGAAATCCGATCCAACAAATGGTTCAAACTTGCTCTATTTATTTGTATTATATAGAGAATACATATTAATTTAAAATGTACATATTAATAAACAATTAATGAAAAATCTAAACCTCACATATACGTAACTGTTTATTGAATTCTGTTAAAGAGATAATCAATTCTATTTTTAGTTTTTATCACTCTAGGAATAAAATAAATAACCATAATTTGTTCTATAGAAAAGCTGCTCCAGAGAGTACAGATGATTAGCGCCAAGCTTTGATTTGGGCATTTAAATGAGGGTGGCGTCACTGTTCACACTTTATGTGGGTGGTAACACACTTTCATGTATGGTTCGAATCGTCAAATTATCTTCAGAGTAAATTAGAGATTCTACTCGAGCTGACTACTTTTCACCTGATGAGTCCCAAATAGGGCGAAACCGGTCGTGGAATGTTAGCTCCTTAAATGCCAAAGTTAAAAGGTTTGTTGTATCAGTCGTGAACACGTTTTATAAGTGTAATTATTGAGCATATGGCCTTGGTGTTGTTGTCACCTTTTTTTATGATCTTATTTACCTTCCATTTGAATTGAGAGCGATCTTTGTCATTTATCTTATTGTTTTAAAAATATATATTATTAAAATTGATTTATTTTCCTTAATGCGGCCCTGTTTCCTTGTACAATCACGTTCTGCCTGCCTGTATTTGCTTTTCTTTAACTTTTGAATATAGTATAGTGCGAACCATTTTAATTTAACATTTTAATTTCAGGGAATGGACGTATTCTGGAAAGCTCCGGTTTGAAATAAGGACACATTCAGCTCAGGCTGAAGGAAATGTACACAGCCTATTTTCGTATGAAAAAAGATTATATTAAATACTAAAATTCCATATTATTTATTGAAGACTTTTTTTAACTTTTGAAACAAAATGGTTAATGAACTGATATGACTAATACTACGGATTAAATCTATCATCACATTAGAATTATAGACAAAATATTAATTTCAATTTAATATTAATTAATTATTAATAATAATTTGTAAAATAGATAATGGATTGTAATGAATTTTGAGCTTATTTAAATTTGACTTTTGCCAAAATAAGTTAAATAAATACAGGGTTAATATACACATCATAAAATATTGTCATATGTATAATTATCAGTATTTTTGAATAACTATATTTAGATCAGTACTGCCAAAAAACTTTTCCGAAAATATATTTTCGATATCCACTGGTTGAAAATTTAAATTTTAAATAAGCTCTAGTAATAAATGTTGTTAAATATTCTTTTAATTATAGTTGTACAATTAAGTGAACACTAATTTGATATGGAATAGCGCATTTTTATTTGTATAAAATGAATTTACAAGGAAATGCCTCTATTTTCGAGATTTAAATAAATATACACATATATAATTGTAGTCGTTCTTGGCTTTCGTTTAGATATGACCATTATTGGCATCCGCCCAATATACACCATGTACCCTGGGGAAAAAATTAAGGGATCAAAAAAAATCTCGAATTTTGCGATTTTTCGAGTGGCTGTATCTTTGGTAAAAATGGACGTACGTGAATGAAAACAAAAGCAATTTGAAGCTTGAAGTGTCTAGTTTATGAATCTTGCGATAAAAAAATTTCCAACTAACATTTAGCACAAAATCCTGATGAATATCATGGATAGAAAAACGCGTTCCTTCAATTTCTTCAAAAATTCACTCGCATGAAACAATGAAACGGCTTGATGGATCAGGTTGAAATTTTGTAGGACTTTCGAGGGAACAATGGCCTGTAAGATGCATACTCAACATTATTCATTCTCCCAATATTCTCAATGTGGCAAGTGATTTTCTAAAAAACCTCAAAAAGACCTTTTTTCCGAAATTCTTCAGTCATGCTAGGGATGAAAAAAATTTTTCTCGTGAAAGAACATGCCAGAACCTTGTAGAAAATGAATCGAAGTTTCCGAAACCCCCATTCTATTTTCTGAGCGGCCATTGGTTCCTGAGATATTGATGAGAGAAGAGGGATATTACGCATTTTCTGATAACTCAGCAAGGAAGGGTTATCTCGAGGCCATCTAAAAAAGGAATTGAAGCTAACTTAACCACCTATCCAATGCATATAGTGGTTGTCGAGAAAATTTTTTTCAAGTCTACACTAAAAAAAAATTTTTCAAAAATGTTCTATCCATGATATTCATCAGGATTTTGTGCTAATTGTTGGTTGGAAATTTTTTTATCGCAAGATCCATCAACTAGACACTTCAAGCTTCAAATTGCTTTATTTTTCATTCACGTACGGACATTTTTACCAAAGATACACCACTCGAAATATCGCAAAAATCGAGATTTTTTTGATCATTTAATTTTTTCCACTAGTGTATATTAAGATGAATTTCAAGATTCTAACAATGTTTTTAGTGGACTTTTTAAGTCTAACAACACTGTTTCATTTGGCATTACCTCAAAAGTTACAAGTTTTTGTAAAAAATAAGTGTGTATTCATAAAGATTTGTCTTGACATTCGAAATATTTTTTAGTAGAAAAATAAATTTTTCACTATAATGGGTGAAATTTGGTTTTAAAACACATTTTTGCTAAACCGATTCTGATTAATGAGTACGCTTTGAGCAATCTATATAACTATAATATCATTGACCCTGTCAATTTTGAAATTTGACAGTGAGGTTATGTTTATAATTTTTCATAAACAAGATAGAAGACTATTTACCCGCTAAAAGAATACTTATTATTTGATTAAAATGTTAAGAGAAAAAGCGAACGGTGCTCAACTTCACTTATTCATAAACAAAAAAGTTTCCATTACGGGATTTGTTACACAAAAAGCTCCAAATGGTCTTTGGTTTGAAATGAGGACTCCAGACAACCAAATTGTTAAAATCAGTATGAAGAGACCAATTGATCAACCACTAGAAGGTTATGTTGAGGTACGTTTTACAGGAAGTTTTTCAAGAATTTATTTAACTCATATTATCTCAAAAAATATATATATTTGACTTTTGACGACTATAGAATATTTTTATTACAGCTTTATTGAATAATCTTATGTAGAAAAAAGAGATTAAAGTTCTACCCCATCACATCTTCTTCTCCTCGAAACAGGTTACCTAGTCACTATGAAACTTCAAATATAAGATGTTTGAAAAATGCTTCTTAAACATTTACAATATAGAATTTTTCTCTTGTCTCACAAATACAAGTATTAAGTTAATTAATTGGGAGCATTTATGAGTATATTTATTAAAGTTTACTATTACAACATTAATATTTTAGGTGGAAGGTACATCAACAGGTACTGGAGTTACTGCTGATGAATATGTAATATTTGACAATGAAAAATTTGATGCCAAGGGCTACACTGCAATGTGCCAGATCTTGAATCAAGTTCCCAATTTATGGATTCTAGAATAAGTGTTTAAGATTACATTGCATTATAAATTATTTTTGATATAAAAAAATTTTTTCTGACTGATATTGCTTTTACTTTTAATACCTAAATCATGGGACAAGGAAGTGACCCCTTCTGGTGTTTGGCAAATATAATATTTAATTTAAACCAATGCCCAGGCCATACTGCTGTAATAATTTTATTATGTAAAAGAAACTTTTTCTAAGTGATGAGTAAATAACATTTTTCTGTCTTCACAAAATAGTTATACAGGGTGTAACAGAAAGGTAGGTAATAAATTATACCAGATATTCTGAAGTCAAATAATGTAATCGATACCATTGATGTTAGTGTAGCATAAAAATAGTTGCTGACTTGTCCTGGTGATTTACAGAATTATCACTGAACAGCTGAAAAAAGAAGAGGCAGCGTTGGCTTTCTTAATGTTAATTTCTGTCAGCATTATTATAAATGTTTCTCAAAACCAGTAGTGGAATGTAAAACACAAATATGATTAAGAATTATGTTTCTTGTACAGATTGTTTATAATGCTTAGTTGTAATTTTGAATTGACAAAGCAAATATTGTGTAGACGAGTAAGCAGGAGCAGAAAGTGAAAACTGAATACCTTGTATATTTTGTGGTATTTTATAAATATGCAATAAAAAAAAACCTAAAATATATTTTTTAAGAGAAATCTTTGCTTTAATGGATATAAGAACTTTCGATAGAAATAAGCAAGATTATATTTTCCAACAATTTGTTAACAAAAAAAAAGACTCACCATTTGAGACTGCTCCTTTACTCTCCGTTCCATTAGTTGATCCAGTATTTCCTTCTTCCATAATATCCATTATTTCGCATAGATTTTTCTGATAAAATCGCGTCCCGGAAAATCTTCTATTCCCGACTACATAAATGATCATCGTATTATATTCAATTCTATAGCAACCTTTTGATACGTAAGTATATCTCTAGGAAGTATATTTGCAGCCATGTTCATCCGAAGACTATAATGTAAATCAAAGATCTACATTGAACATCAGAGGACATACATTCTATGATCAAACGTCTTTATTGTCAGAGGTGAAATGAACATGAGCTCAAACCATATTAATATCGTGCTACCGATTAACTCGTATTATTTGCGGCGATTTAAATTTTTAAAGGATATTCGCTGAAAAGAAAAACAAGTATTAGGAAATTTGGAAAATGTTAAAAGGTAAGGATATTATTGAGGGAACCTAAAGAGACTGCACCTATTTCGCAAAGGTTCTACAAAAATTTTATTCTTATACTATGAGTATAGACTATTTTTATAAAAGTAAATTTTATTTTTTTTATATCGGTGTCATCAGCTGAATGGAATTAATCAACTCATATTAAGAGACATTTGTTTAAGAATGTTCAATTAGTATATATATTTCTAATTTAATTGTATTATCTATTCTTGTACTCTTACTCTGTAATTGGGTCTTGATCTGTTAAGTAATGTAATAAATAAAAAATTTAAAAATACAATATTTTGTTACTAACCGATTTCAAAAAAGGAGGAGGTTCTCAATTCGTAGATAATTCTTTACCATGTCCGATTTCTAGGATTCTTTTTTTCTTAGAAAGGGGGGTACTTCAGGGGAGATCCCATGTAAATTTGGTCAACATCTGATAATAGGATCTATAAGAAAATCAGCAAACTTAGTTATGGCATCTGCACAATTTTGGAGTTAAGTTTTTTAAAATTACTTGTACAATTTGTTTAGGGCCGATTCCACCGTAGTGTTAAACGAAGTTTAAAATTTACATTTTTATATTAACAATGTCATTACGCTCTTGGACTATATAACCTATTTAATTTCTTTGTGACCAGCAATCTCTTTTCAATAGGACATAGAAAAGGGAGAGAAAAAAAAAACAGTATAATGTAAAAATTTTAATAACCATTAGACTCTAAAATAAAATTTAATTATAAATAGAAATTAACACTATTTAACTAATATTACAATCACATGAACCACCAATAATTAATAGCTAAAAAATAATAAACGAATGAACACAAATACTGTTAATTTTATATTTTTTTCGGAAGTAAATGAGGTAAATGCTGCTTTATAGGTTAAAAATACTGACTACATATTTGTTAAATTAATAGTATAGCATATACAAACTGTACAATAATATTATGGTGGTTATTTTAATTAACAATCATGATATATTGCGGTTTTTAAATATTAAGTAAGGCTAAGCCCTCCTGAATTAGAAATTACCCAATTAAAGTATTACTTTGTAATAGTTAATTCGAGCACAGATCACAATATTATAAAAAGGAACATATTATAAGCACCTGGTATTGCAAAATTTACAGACAAATACATACACCCATGGTAACAGATGAAATTTAAGTTTTTTTTATTCTAATGATCTCAGTCTGTTTAATCGAAAATGTATCACAATAAATATGCACATACAAGTAGAAATAGAATCGGAAAATTATTTTACGTTTTTAAAACACTTTCTCGTGCAACAGTTTTTTTTTTTTCGAGTTTAGCAAATAATTACAATAATTATAAACAATAAATAATAGAATCTCAACTACGACAACGAAAAATAGATTTATGACTATAAAGAAAAATGCTAAACAATATTAAGACAACGGTACAATTTGTCTTTAAAGGAAATATTTTTATTTAAATTAAAAAATCTTGATTCAAAAAATTCCTCTCGATTTAATCAAAGATGATTTATTTGATATCACAATAACTTTTGCTACAAATCCCGAATACGGTTTTTTAAGTAATATTACAAATACATAGCGTGTAGCTAAATTAATTTTAATTTTGTGCTAACTTATTGTGAAATTAATATATAAGAATTTCCTAGATTGTTCTAGACGACAGGTATACAGTTGGATTCTCTTATGTAGATAAAATCTCAACGAACGGGTACCAAATCAAACAAATAACAGCATTTTATCGAATAGAAAGAACATGCAACATATTTTAAACTTAAATCAGTTTTCAAATAATTGTGAAAAATCTTATACTTATTACCCACCAATTAATTAAAACATGTAACACTTAGTTTAAAACTGATTTTTGGGTTTAAAATATTTTACTTTTTCAGTACATTTATGTAGGGAGACTGAATTTTTATTGTCTAATCTATCAATTGTTGTTACTCCTTAGATTTGGTTTCTTTTCTATAAGATTTGGCCTAACGGAATCAACTGTATACCTCTCGCTACCAAAACAAAAATATGTGCTTGCATAAGCTTTTAATTTATTTTGATTAAGGAGGTCCTTTCGCCACCAATGTTAAATAAAAAATATTAGATTATGACTAAAATTAATTTTTTTCTAATAGTTGAAGTCCTTATTTATCTAATAGTGAATTTTTAACTATACCTTTCTGGGCAAATTTTTGAGAATTTTTTTTTTAATGTATTTGTACAGTGTCTTATGAGAAAGTAAGACCTCAACAACAATTTTCGAATTATAATTAGGTATACTATTATTTATTGATTAGATGGAGTAGAAAAAAACTAAAAATAAGGTTTTTGAAATATTTAGATTTTGTTTTTTACAATAAAATATATAGGTTACCGTGGAATTTATTGAGAAATTAATATTAAAAAATCACAAAAAATTTTCAACTAGGTTACTTGAAATTTTTTAATATTAATTTCTCAATAAATTCCACGGTAACCTATATATTTTATTGTTAAAAACCTTATTTTTAGTTTTTTTCTACTCCAACTAATCAATAAATAATAGTATAATTCGAGAATTGTTGTTGAGGTCTTACTTTGTCGTAAGACACTGTACAAATACTCACATTTAAAAAAAAAAATTCTCAAAAATTTGCACGGTAAGGTATAGTTAAAAGTTCACTATTAGATAAATAAGGACTTCAACTATTAGAAAAAAAATTAATTTTAGTCATAATCTAATATTTTTTATTTAACATTGGTGGCGAAAGGACCTCCTTAAATGTACTTCCTTAATTTTTTTACCTAAATACGAATTTTTATATTTATGGTGTAGTTTAAAACAAACACTATAGTGAACTATTTGAATAAATAACTACGATTTGTAGCTGTCTTTTGTAGAATTGTTAAAAACTATCAAAACTCTTCTACAAACAAAATTTTATAAATACTCCAACTAAAAACAACACTGTGTTATAACAAACAGTAATATAAAGGAGTTATTTAGCTGACTGTGCACTTTTAGTGTCAACCTTAGAAATTGAAGAAACAAACATAATATATTCAACTCTGACTACCCACACACCATCTCAAAAGAAATCCTTTAAAAGTAACAATAAACAAAAAATCAGCCAAACACTATAAATATTTGAAAATGGTGAAATAACTTTCATATTCACCATAATATAAAAAATCGGAAAATTATAAATTCCATATTTTTGGAATATTTGCTTATTCGATAAGAAAAAATAAATTTATTGTTCAAATTAATATGAATTAACAGTAGATGAGCAATGATTGTATGACAAGTACGAGGGTAAAACAATAATTAAGAATTATTTTAAATATAATAATTATTATCAATAATATACAGGATGAATAAAGGATAAGAATACAATAATAACGTATTTTTAATAATAAAATTTTTGGAAATGTGAAAATATAAACCTCAATTCACTCTACGAAATTAAGGATATTATCTCCACATCTCAAAGTGAAAACAAACAAAAAAAAATTGAAAAAGTTGAGAAAATAAAGAAAAAATGAGTGCTCTGAATAAGAATCAAATCTAGAACCCTCGAGTGTAGGCCGCGGCGCCTTTATTAATTAGACCACCTACAGAATTTGTAATTCAGCCTTTGCAGCTATATGCCATGATAGTCTAATTGGTAAAAGCGCTACACTCGGAGGTTCCAGGTTCGAGCTCTTGTAAGGACACTCATTTTATCTTTATTAATTTTTTTCCTTTTTTCTTTGTTTTCACTTTGGTCACACAAACGTTGCTCATCTACTATAATCAGAAACATCATGTTTTAAGTTAGGAAACAACTTTCCTAAATTATAAGTTTAAATCGTTTATAGAATATTATATTGTTTGTTGATGAAAAAATCAATTACATTATATAAAAATATACAAATACCAAATTAAATTCAATTTAAAAAAAAAATTGAATTGGCTGTTGATTTTTGGGAGAACTGGAGTGGTATTTCCAAAAATTACAATAAATTTCTTATCAATCCTTCAACAAAACTAGAACCTCGAGAAAAAATAAATAAGAGCAATAAAAAACAAATATAAATGTATAAAAACAGTCTTTTTTACAGCATAAATGACCAAGCGACATTTAATTGATATCACTTGGAACGAGATCAGAATTATAGACTGAGAAAAACTTTTGTTAATTCTAATCAAAAGTCAGTACTTTTTTGTTTATTTTACTTTTAATAATAGGTGTGGATGTAATAATATCCTCATCATCAGACATCATATATGTCAAATTATCACTATCATCCAACTTTAGTTCGTCTGTATCCATGGGGTGTATATCTGAATTAACAGAGTCATGTAAAGTTATAGCCAAGGTACTATAGTCTGTATCCTCAGAATTGTTAAGGCTCTTAGTTCCTTTTGGTGATGCAAAATATTCTTCTGCAGTTAAAGTTTTACTTTTCGTGTCCTCTTGGAAAAGGATCTTTGGACTTAACGTCACCCTTGGTGGACCACCATCAGGAGATAACCTTAAATAAAACAACTGTATAGAAAAGAACAATAAAGCTCTTATTTACAAATTATTAGGTTATTACTATGAACACATACTCCTAAATTAAATTTGAAAAAAGAAACAATATCTAAACCGAAATATAAGTACAGTGCAGTCCATATGTATGGAATAAATTCTTTTTTAGCATTATGTACTTTTGGAAAAAAAAACCTGGAAATTGTCGATTTTTATTCTTAATTTAACAATTTTTTAATAACATGTCATATACGTGTATTTGTATCGTCCATGTCCTGGGGCTTAAGCAACAAAATATGAATTCGCACAGAATTAATCCCAAAAAAATGTTTAGGCAACTTGGACTTTTTTTATTTTAGCATTTATAGAATCTAGAAATAATGCCAGACTATTTCAGCTTTGAAGACATTTAGGTATTTATCTCAAAAACGCTTAGACTTAGGTATAGGACATGATACATAAAATCTACCTAAAATCTCAAGTAGAATCCAAAAATTTAATAATATATAGGGCGTCGTATTTAAAATAAGCGACTCAAGGTTTATTTTCGGTATAACCGGAAGTGATCAATAGATGAAAATATTTTAGTTGAATTGCTTTATTCTACATAAAGTTTTGTGATAGAGACATCAAAAATTTATATTTTTAAACTCAATTTTCACATTTATGTATTAAATTAAAAAAAAAAACTATATTATTGAAGAAATAATTAAAACCCCTTTCAAACAAGGTGTCACACAACCCCTTTATTTAAAATTTTCGAGGAAGTGCTCATATTTCACAGGGGTTGGAAGAGGGGGCTAATATTTTCATACTATAAATTGTCAAATTAAGAATAGAAATCGACCCGTTTTACATTTTTCCCAAAAGTACATAATAAAATATTAAATGAATTTATTCCACCACACATTATGAATATATCACACATTCTGTGCAACAGCATCACTAATGCAAAAATATTAGAACAATATCATAAATAAAACATACAATAAATGAGAAAATATTAAATCATTTGGCTTTGTAAAAAATTCTAATAATGAGAAAGCCATAATGGATTTTGTTAATACAACTGTGAAGGCCTTGGATAATTCAATAAAATCCTTGGCAGTATTTTAGAATCTAGCCAAGGCCTTCAATATAGTAAAGATATAAATTGTTTGATAAAAAAACTAAACAATTATGGTATTCCAGGTATTGCTTCAGAATTAATGAAAAAATATCTAACAGAAAGAATGCAACAAGTCAAACTTGGCCAAGAAGTAAGATCAGATTTAATAGTACAAACCGGTATACCCCAAGGTACTGTTTTAGGGCCAATACTGTTTCTTGTATACATAAACAGTACAACTAAAATGTTCATTTTACAAAAGTATTCATATTTTAAATGGGTCATAGTATGAGTATAAAAACTAAATATTGTTGATAACAAAAGAAAAAATTTACCTAATATCATATTCCTCACAGTTAATATCAAAAGGACACCTGGGTGTATCGATGATATTGTTATTGTCATTAACTCCATCTATATCATGAACCAAATATTCAACCTAAAATTTTGTTATTATTTTAAATCTAAAATCACAAGTTTGTAAAATCTACTTACTGCATAGTTAATCCGTGGTTTTTTCTTATCCCTTTTTTCAATAGATCTAAGTGTACTAAATTTTAATATTTTCTGTGCTGATGGTCTCTTTTCATAGTCAGGTTTAAGCATTCGTTCAATGATTACTTTAAATCCAAGTGAAACCCCTAAAAGATTGGAAGAAAATGTTATTTGATATGTAAGTCTAATTTGAGTCCATTTTTTTTTAATTTACAAATGGTAATCAAATTTAAATCAAATAAGTAATATTCTACTTGCTTATTTCTAGGGTGGTGGCATAAACTTTTTTTGTTAAGATGCGATCCATTATTAAAAAAAAAAAAAAAAATATATTACAAAACTTTAAAAAGTATTATTACTTACGGTCATAAAAGGATTGAGGTAGAATTTCATGGCGAAGTTGTTGCCATAGGGGTCCATGACTAGGTAACTCCAAGTCAGCTGCAAGCTCCATTAAACTTAAACCAAGTCCAAAAATATCACAGTAAGGTGTATAGACACCATCTAGTACTTCTATAGCTAAATATTTTGAATCACCATCTGATAATGTTGATTTGCAGCTTAAAGGTGCCTAAAAATGCAATGAGATGGATTTTAAAAGATTTTTCTTCAATATTGACCATTTTATAAAAAAAAATCTCAAATTGTCTACATAAACAGTTCTTGACATACGGTTAGACACCTCCCTTAACAGTTTTCAGTACATATTATATTCAGAAACTTACCAAATTTAGGTCTACAAGAATTCCAAAATCTGCTAACTTATAATGACCAGATTTCATCATAATATTGCCAGGCTTGACATCTAAATGTAACAATTGTTTACTATGTAAATACTTTAAAGCTTGGCACATATCATACAATACATCCCACAGTAAATCCTCTGGAATATCACTATTTCTGGTTGCATAATCTGATAAACTCATCTGACATGCCTCTAGTAACATAAAAACTTCACAACCTTCCTCCCAAGCCATATAGAACTGAACACAATTTTGATGAACACCAATTTTTTCATTATTTCGAATCTCCGCATACTTGTCATGGAAGCTGATCATTGGTTTTAGCCTCTTAATAGCATAGTGTCTATTATCATAAACACCCCGTGCTCTGTACACTTTCCCAAAACTTCCTTCTCCTATTAGTAAGTGTTTGGGGTATAACTGTTCAAAATATGTTGTATCTAAATTTGGGTTGTAATTAGGACTAAGTTCCACTGAAACAAAAATAACATTAAAAACGTATTTATAAATTATGTTGAAGTGTCTACCTGTGTTATCAAAGTATATTGGTTTTGGTTTATCAAAGGCACCATTTGATGCCAATATACTTTTCCTAAATATTTTGTTGGGTACGGGTGGACACGGAGGTAGATTTTTACGTTGTGCTAATTCCTGAAATTATAAAATTGATGACAAAGTAGTTTATTTCTTTTTATTGAGAAAAGCTATTCCATTATGACATTACCTTTTTTGTAGAAAGTTTCTCATCAGTTTTCAATTCTTCCGGCAATGCAAATGTTCCTCGTTTACGATTTGCCATTACGTAAATAATATAAACTATATAAAAATCACAACAAAACAAACTTAACCATAAAAAACTTTGTCTTCTTCACAGTTCACATGACGTTGACGCCATCGACCATCTTTTTTTAGGAGGGTTCGGCGGTGTTGCCAGAATAAATTTTTGTTATGTACTAGATTTGTGTAAAAAATGTACCAGATTACATAAAAATGTACCAGATTTTTCGAATTCTATTTGTAGTGACGGTCTGGTGTTCATTGAAGAGCAAAAAAAGGCTTTATAGAAAACGAACAAAAACAAGAAAGATACCAAGAATATATTTTAGTCAAATGAAAACATACGCTGCTGCACGCCGGGGAAGAAAAAATTCTAGATTTTGCTTCGAGTGAACTAGAGTACTAGATTTATAAAGAATGTGTCAAGATCTGATATCATTGACCTTGTCTAATAACCAGACCCACAAGGTTGCCATATCGTAGCCTGTCATTAACCAGGGGAAACCATTTCGTTTGGAATGCCTAATGGTATGAATCACGGTTCGTAGACAACACTGTGGCGTCATTACAGTTGCTAAGGACGCAGTGACGTCACGAAATGAAAATTAGAGTTGACAGAGAATGGTTTACTTGATGTCGTACATTAGTTTTTTAAAAAATCTAATATTTTATTGTTATTTAGCGGTGTTTATATTTTTATTTTTGAACTTTGTTCTGGTGTTAGAGTTTTTAAAATATCGATAGTTTGATTATTTGAAAGACAAGCTACAAAAACATCAAGGAAAAATCATGTAATGATTTCCATCACATTTCAATTTGACATTTCGTACTGATTTTTTTTTTTAAACAGGTCCGTATTTATAAACAGAACTCAGCTGGGTCGGACTTGGGTAAGTCGTCATTGAACTAAAATCGAAGTTCGGTTACAATGTCTCTAAAGTTCCAGGTGGTTCCGGTGTTGCACTGGAATTTAGAGATGGATATTAGCGAATCTGTAACTGTTAAGTACATTTACGGATTTATTACTACCCATCTCTAAATTCACGCGATATAACCAAACTTCGATTTTCGTTTAAGGACGACTCAGCTAAGTTCCGTTTATAAATACGGACCTGAATCTCAAAAAAAAAACGTACTGAATTAGCTTAAAAAAAGGCCAGACTGTATTTTATTAAAAAAATTAAGAAATCACCAAAAAAATGGCTGTCTCTGGCTGAAGCTTTAAATTCATAAACTATAAAAGCATTTTGTAGAAAAAGTTGCAACGTTTACGAAAATTTTGTTAGGATTCACCCTGTAAAGGAAAAAAAATAATACAAATATGATTGAACCCATCATGTATTTAACAATAAAATATTACAAAATGTTATGATAAACAAATAAACATTAAGAGTAATTATCAAACCCAAAAATGTTTTAACATTGTATATATAAGTAAATTTAAGTTTAGTATTTCAATAAAAATAAACAATTCTAAATTGGCAATAAATTCTAAGTTCTCAGAACCAATTATAAAATTATAAAAATCTACTCATTGCGAAAAACTACACCACATTTTAGAGGTCATATACAACTGCTTAAAATTATCTTTATATACATGTCATGTAAAACACATGACGTAATTATAAGTATATAACTGTTATCTCCATTATAATAAAACAAACATTAACAGAGAAATGTCAATAATATCGGTGATTCTAAGTTTGTTTCAGGAAAATTGATGTTACAGTATAATAAGTCGAAATATTGTCAACAAAATGGAGTAACTTCATTGTATAACATTGTTACAGTCGCAAGTACTTAAAATTATGAAGTTAGTCAGTTTGTAGACAACTTTAACCTCATTGCACAATAACCTATATAAAATCTGACTTTATAAATTAAGTAGACCAGTGTTGTTCCTGGTTGTACAATCAGTTATGTGGTTGTACTGTTGTACGCACTTTTGGAAGAAAAGTAGAAATGTACAATTTGAAGTTGCTAAATAATTATGTAAAATCTGGTATATATTAGGTTTTTTCTGCTCAAAAAGTCTACGATTCATTAAATCGTATGAATTAAAATTAATAAAAAAAAGTAAAGTTTAAATTTGGCGCCATTCGCAACCAATCAGTACACCGTTTTATATCGAAAACATTTTTTAAACTGGAAAAAAGAATTTTAAGCATCGGGAAGGCCATAGACTATCAATAAAAAAGAAGAAGATTAATAAGTGGTTGTACAATCGAACGTAGAAGTGTACAATTTTAACATTAAAAGTTATACAATTCAAAAATCCCTAGGAACAACACTGTAGTAGATATTTACAAATTATACATAATGATGGTTTGAAAACCATAACTTAATGATAATGCTCTCCCTAGAGATTGCCCCCTTATGAGTGAACCTCAGAAAGTAGAGACTGTGCAGGCAGGGACAGCTAACATCATTATTATAATAACGCTTTTATATAAAATTAAAATCAATTTTTAAGACACTTTATATAGGTTACTGTTTATATACTGTGAAGAATAAAATTTGTAAAATAAAAACTTGTGACTCGATGTATATATGCATTTCATAGGTAGGTATGTTAAGTGCAATATTATGGAATGTAAAATTATTAAATACTTTTGCTACTTCACACCACGTGCTAAAATAAATTTATATATTGCTTTATTATTCGCACAAGCTCAAAAATCTATCAAAAAATTCAAAATTTAAGTATAACTATAGAGTTTCTCAAATTTTGTTTTAAATAAAATAAATTTACTAATCATATTATAGTCGATTGAAATAATAGGCAGTAATGTAATGACAGGAATGTGTGAAGAATACTGACAGAGTTGTCACATGTAATATCTTTGAAACAAGACATAATTAGGTATTCGAAACAAAATGGTTTATTGTGGGCATTGATATGTTTTGGTGGATTTGACAGGGTCAATGATATAGGTAGTTATATAGATTGGTCATCCACGTTTTTTGAAATAAACATAAGCTCACGCCTTGAAGTAAAAACTTGGGTAATTATTTTTTTTACGATATTCAAACACATTTTTGCTAAACCGATTCTGATTAATGAGGCAATATGGCTGCTTGCAATGCGACCCGCTTTGGGCAATCTATATAACTAGATATATCATTGACCCTGTCAAAGCCACCAAGTCTGCAGGGTTGCCATATCGATGTCCACCAGCAGCAGTTTGACAGGTCATTGGAATGCCTAAACGACCTGTTAAACAATTAGGCATTCCAAACTGAATGGCTACCAGTGGGTTTTGACAGGTTATGATATGGCAAAATTATGGCAACCCTGTAGGCCTGGTGATTTGACAAGGTCAATGAAATAGATAAGTTACATAGATTGATCATCCATATTTTTCAAAATAAACATAAGCTTATGCCTTGATGTAAAAATGTAAGCAGTTATTATTTTTTAAATATCTAAAGGCTGACAATTGGTTTTAAAACACATTTTTGCTAAACCGATTCAAATTAATAAATATTTGCCAGGCAATATGGCCGCTCGCAAACGACCAGCCTTGAGCAATCTATATAACTATATATGTATCATTGACCCTATTAATGTCAACATGACAACAGGGATCTAAACTGTCATTACCCACTAGTAGCCATTTGGACAGGTCGTTGGAATGCCTAATTGCTGCCAGTGGGATGAGCTCTTATATCTAAGGAGGTTGTTTCATCTTGGACGCTATTTTTATTCTAAATAGTAGTCGCAGCCTGCCAATTTATGAAAATAATAATTTCATTGTGTTAGTCATCAAATATTTAAATTTAATCCATTATTCATGATTTTACGTATTGTATGTATGCCGCAACTCTTTAGACATACCAAACCTTCCCACCGACAGTTATTTTGTTTGGAATGCTTAATTGTTAGCTCAATGACAAATGACAGTATCTTTTTATTCAATTTTGGAGCGTTTAACTTCTTGGGTCAAAATGTGCAATACAATAAAATAAAAGACGTTATAAAAATTAAATTTGTTCACTAGTTTTTCCCAATGACATATATTGGATAACAATTTAAATGCGAATTACATAAAAATATGATAATGAATATCTAATATTTCTTTTCAATTAGTAAACCAGAATTTTTGTAAATTTCGCTTTCTAGAAAAATAATTAGGAAATTTTACTATTAAATGCAAATACACTAAAAACTTTTTGAAATCAAACTAAAATTAAATTTAATTATTATTGGACAGCGTAACTTTTTTATAATGAACATGTTGCTGTGTTTGATTTCTCGAAATTTTTAAATATGATCCACCCTATAGTTAGAATTTTATTTTTCGATAAACGGAAAAATCAAAAGTCGATGGCTAGTGATTATTAGAGAAATGTTTATATAACAAAATAATACATAACGCAGAATAAAATAATTTCTATTTTGGCACAGAAAATATGATTTTTAAAGTGCCCGAGTATTTTGAATAATAAAAAAAAAATGAAACTATTGTATTGTCTAAATTCTATTAATAGTATGGACGTTATGGTTTAATTGATTATGTTTATATATGTAAATATGATTATAAAATAAGTACCGCCCTTTTTATTATATCTACAAATATTATTTCTAAAAAGCTAACTTAAAAATCTCATTGGTAGCAAATTATATTGTATAAATAAAGATTTGTTTTTTAGTGGACGGAATTAGGTTTACATTTCGTTTCTATATCCGTCGATAAATAATGTAATTAGCAAATAAAATTAAAGTAAAAAACAATCAAATTTGAAAATATTTCAAATTTGATTTTAAAATTTAGACAACAAATAGATTCATTGATTTTTTATGTAGATACTGAAGATATAATTTCATATTACTAACAGGTACATAACATACTTTTTTAATAAAAAACATGCTTAGCATAGTGTAGTTTGTAGACATTGATCATAAACATGTCCTAACAGTTCAAACAGCTTTTGTAAAAAATATTTTCCAAAAATGTTATAATATTCAGGAACTATTTTGAAGAAGATCAGATTTCAACGGATTTAAATATATTAGAGACATTAGAGTAATATTCGTGTCTATTATTTTTTCTTGCTGTAAATAAATGCAATTTATCGGAATGTTTAGAAAAACGTTATCACAAAATAATACTAACAGAGGTTGCACAGAAATTAAATATTCTGCATAAGTTGTAATTTTCGGCTTTAAAATACAATTATTTACAATTACTACCTTAAAATATAACCATTTTATTAAACTAAATAAAATCAACATATAGATACCCATTAAAAAAATCCATTTATCATAGCCAGTGTATCTGTGAAAACTGATCCTCTAATATGTTTTAATATGGTATTTAATTTCGCAACTATTTTATGGTACCTATAAATATGATAAAAAAAGTAGCTTGCCTGAGGAAAGTAACAAAAATTTCCTAGACATGTCAATAAATTTAAAATAAAATGCCATGGTATTACATAAGATATCTATCCAGACAGTAGTGTCATGCCAGTCAAGATATAGAGAAAGACCTAAGTATAAGTTTATTTAATTTATTAATTATTATTGTTTTAGGAATGTAATTACGAATGCAATTAAGTACTAGAGATTAAATTTTGGGTAGTTATATTAAGCAAAACTCTTGTTTGCAAGGATTATTTGGTAACTACGTGGCGTAATTTAGAGAATCTTTAGGCATTCCAACGACCTGTCGAAATTGCTGCCTGTTAGTTTTGACAGGGTCAATGATATACAAAAGGTGTATGCCATAAATTTGGATCTTTTTTATTATGTCGTAGAACAATCACCTTTATTTATTTAAAAACTTAAAACAGTCTTCATCAAATAGTTATGTTAAATTCGTTTTTAACTAAGAAAAAAGTTATTGAAAAAACTTATTTTACATAGTTCACAGGGTATTTTTTCTGTATTTGTAAGCAGATTATAGTAATAATCAAATGTTAGTCTTTCCCTATACCTTGATGCTGGTGCTGCTGTGAACAAATAGCAATTATAAAGCACATTATTTGTTTTCAGGGAACAGCTTTCTAATATATGATACAACAAGCGAGAAGTGGCCTGTGAGATGTACAAGAAGAAAAGATAATAATCATAGGTAGATCAAAATGCTCGTTGAATTTCTTTTTTCGCAGGCATCTCACTTGTTGTATTATATTTTATTTAAATTTAGGCAAAATAGTATCTTTGTTATGTTAACTTTTTCTTAAATACTAAAGTTATCAAATATTTTAAGTAAAATAAAACGTTTTGCATAATAAAATAATAAGTATATATAAAAAAAAGTGGTACAAAAAAGTAACAATGAAAAATAAACATCATTAAAGTTTATTTATACATATCACATTTTGTTTACTTTTATACTATATCATGTTCAGAAATTCATTCAAACTAATCCTTCCTTACTGTTTTGTCCTTTAGTGTATAAATATTTAATTTTCATATTTGAATTTGTATTAATCATATATTTGTGAAGATAATAAACTCTTATTATGTAGTACTTCTGTCGTTAAGATATTTTAGTGAATCATTGCGTAGAAAAATCCCTAATTCACTTTACCACTTCTATCTATGGTTAAAGAGCGCATATGATTCGGAAATCTCATATTCCTACTTAAAATATCAATAGCATATAAGATTTAAGTACTACAAGACAAAAGAGTTTAATATTTCTATAAATTTATGATTAGTTATAAGTCAAACACGAAAGCAGGGGCGGCTTGTGACCAACATTTTGGGGGTTCACAGTAGAAGAATATAGATGTCGGTACAGATATAGGTAAAAAACTGTCAGTGTTTTAGAAAGGTATATTGTAAACTTTCTAAAACACCAAAAGTTTTTTTCATATATCTGTACTGATATCTATATTCTGTCACTGTGAACCCCCAAAATTTTAATCACAAGCCGCCACTGCACGAAAGTGTGGTATAATCTCCATTTAAATTTTTAAAATTAAAATACACATTTTTAACAACTATGCTTTGTCCCCAGGTATAATAAAAAATTAATTTAATACATCTCTTCCTAAAGGTACCTTCAATTGCAATATTCCCTAGGGAAAATGTAAACTGTGCTAGTCTAGACACATTGCCATTGTCATTCCAAAATGATTGACTGTAAATTAGAAAAATAGAAAAATTCGTAGTTCCAAGGAACTAAAGCAACGCGATGAGAAATATTTTGTTTGTAAAGCAAATAAATTTCAAAAACTATAGGTAATTAAAAAAAAAAAAAATGTTATAAATAAAAAATATTAAAAAATGGACGGTTTTTAAATCAGGAGGGATATCAATTGCTGAAAAGGCTGTAGCAGAATGCCAAGCATTTAATATCTTCAATTTAGTTTTTGAAAGGTTTATTATTTGTCAATTCTTATATAATATTGTGGAAGCAGTTTGTACACATTTTGTGTACCTAGAGATTTTATTTACGCAATTCCATCAATAGAAACATCCATAAATAATCTTATGAATGAGTCTTTTAGTTTTTATAAACACCTAAATATATTTTAAGCAAATAATTTCAACTGACAATTATTTTTCATTTTAATTTAATTATAACATAAGCAAATAATTTAAACCTACGATATCACTCTTAAGAAATTACTGACATTACAGACTGTTGTCAGAAAATATAAAATGAATTCTGTATGGAAAACTAGATCAATTTGATATAAATTAAATTTCATCAGAGTAGGGATTGATAGCACAACCTAAACTTTATTTTTCTTTAATTTCTATATAATTTTAAATAAAATATACCACTGCATGGAATCCCCTAATGTCAGGGAAGGAAGATTCCTTGACTGTCACATTTTTGCTGAATACTTTTGGAAAATTAAAAATATTCTTAAATAGAAAGTTCCAAATTGAGATTCTTGAATGAGATTCGCATATAATTTTATAATTTCAGACCTTAATTATCACAGAAAATATATACTAAGCAATGTATCTCCTGAACATGATATATGTGTATAATAGAACAATTCAGAAAACTCGCTATTTATTTGAAGCAAGCAAAGATTAAGTGCCATTTTAGTACTTTAATAGGATTATATTTCAACATTTAATATTGCTCATATATATGTTACACAAACCTAAAATAATTTGATACTTTAACACAAAGATCCTTACAGAGATTCATTAATTTCTATTCGATTCCTGTTTTTTTTTTATAAATAAGCAATTTGTGCAAAATTGTTAAAAAATGCTCAAATACAACAACATAAAAACTAATACACAACATACGTTTCTACTTTTTTGTACCTACTTTTTGTTTGTATTCTAGTTTATTTAATAATGATTGTTTAAAAGTTTTTTGAGATTCTATCCATTTAATTTTTTTTAATCAAGATTATGTGAAAATGAGGAACAAAATTAAATCCAGCGAAGTGATAGGTCAGTAAGTAAACACAAACAAATCGAAAAATTTAACAGTAATTTTTAAACTTTCACTAATTTCGATTCATTCGGAAGTTTCACCTGCTTACTGGCCTATTTTGACTAAACGCATTTTGGATATTTCACCTCAGATTCAATTTCTATGCAAACTATAATATACTAACCAGGCCGTCATGATAAATTAAAAGCCGTTGGCCTTTTTTTAAAAGAGCAAATGGCAATACAGAAAGAAGTAAAAAAATATAAAACTTCTAAATTAATAAAATTATTATCTGCTAAAGGATTTGAGCAGTTTTTAATTAAAAATATGAAAGTAAAATTCTACAACATTAAGCATCATAACAACAATTCTTTATACTACTAGCTATACAAAATAATCTTTACATTGAGGAGCGGTTTATGAAACCCCTTAAAAAGCAAACTTATAATAGTTATGCTATACATGGTCCACCTACATCATTGAGATAGAATAACGAGGAGATGCTTTGCATTACACGTTTGATGAGAATAAACGCCATTTTGATTACACTGTTCCATCACAAAGTGCGTGCATCTGTCGTCTCTACTTCATTCTACTTCGATGATCTACATATATTACATACTGTAAGTTTTGCATCAAATAAACATCACATGATTATTTTGGTTGAAAGTCCTCTCTTAAAGTGACAAGGTATAATACAACCTGGACCTAAATATATTTAAAATCATGCTTTTAAATCGTGGCATTTTTCCAGGTTTAAATGTAAAGTAAACTGTAAAATAAGATAGTTGCAAATTTCAAGTTGTTCAGGAAATAAAACTGATATACATTATGCGTTAGATTTCATTAAATTTAAATAAGTACTATTCATAATCAACTTTTTATCTATGTACTGCAGTAATTAAGTTTTTACGTCTGGCATAGCCATAAATTGAGGGCGACATAAAGGCAATGGCGCTATCTCCGTTTTATACTGTATTAACGTCATGTCATCTATCCTACGACCAACATAAGTACTGTATTTAAGTACTAACAAAACAATGTCTCAACAAATATACCTAGTTGTCGAAAAAAATTAATTTAGCATTTAAAAATAGGAGATAAGTTGTACAGGAGTAACAATGAGACTAGGGCCAAGTTAATATCTCTTTTATTATACTCCTCACACAGAAGTCTTTGGGTATAGAACCCTAAAAAAGGTGTTTTAGCAGATAAGCAGATAAAAAAGAAACAGCAGGACGTAGGAGACCAGGAATTATAGACAGGCAGGAGTTAAAGAGGTATAGAAAGTCTGGAGTATCATAATAAATTGAAGATTTAATTCCAATTTTTAATTCATTTAGATATTGATTTCTTTTTTAATTATTGTAAGAAGCTATTGAAGCCACAGTCCTTAGTGGAGTAGTTCTACCTTATACAGGGTGAAACCATTACAATATATATAAATTTTCCTAATGACCAGATTTTTTGTGTTAAATTAATTTTATCGACAAGCAGAATTTAGAGACATCACCGTCATAAAATCAACAATAAAAACAAAGTACGTTAGTTCTATTTCCGATAGTGGCTTTGTAGACAGTCAGTCGCGCGACAAAATGAAAATTACCATAAACTGTTATCAATTAAGATTTCTTGAGGTTTCCGTTAAATTATGGTTTATTTATGATCACAGAAAAATTTAATCAATATCAGTTATATCTCTCATTAAACTGTTGTAACTGGAAGTAAAACGCTGCGTTAAAAGAATGATTTTAAATTGTTTGAAAAGCGTAATATAAAGATGCATAGTGAACAACATTTTTTTTGTCTAAATAGTTAAGTTTACTTGTCCTGGGCACCGTTCAAACTTCCGCAAGGAGTTCCACTCGATTGGGTGGACATGCTGCGTGTCGGGGTGGGGCTTTTACCCCCACTACCGCTACTTAAAGCCATTTTTTGCATTTGTCTTATTACAGTTGTCGCATGATAGGCTTGCTAAAAAAATATCAGTTACCATGTAAATCAAAGTTTTATTTACTTTTAAACCATTATAAAGTGTTTTTTAAAGGTCAAAGAATGTGCCATAAGTTATTTTGGATACTATTTCTAATACTATGTGTTTTTATAGTAAAAAATCTGATGTGCCCAACACATGACTTTCCGGTTTAGTTATTATAGGCCTTTTCAGGTTATTTTGTACAACCTATTGTATCACCCCTGTAAATGTTCAGAGGATGAACTATAAATACATATATTTTCCATACACGTCTTACTTGAAACATTTTTTTTATATATATATATATTCAATACCAACTGAAAATTAAAATTAAATCATTTTCATTTGAAAATTTTCTTCTTCAATAAAAGATATTTCTTAAAGTAAAAAAAAGCTACACCCTATAAAATACCCCCAGATGCTTCGACTATGCTCAGCACAATATGGATTAAAGCTTAAGGCTAAAATTTTGTATTCTTCCCTATATCCGTTTTTGAGTTATTTTTGAAAATCTAAATTTGCGCTTTTCTTCAAATATCTCAAATACGGTCCATTTTAGGGAAATCATGTATAGGACAAAAGTTATAGAAAATAACATCACAAACAACTTTTATTTGAACAATTTTCTTAAAATTCGAATTTTTCACTTTTTTGTCAAATTTCTCGAATACGGACATTTTAGGAAAATTATGTATAAGACAAAAATTATAGAAAATGACATCACAAGCAACTTTTATTTAACGAATTTTTTTCTCCAAGCGTAAATAACAGATATATTCCATAAAATAGACCCCTATAAAGTACCCCCCAGATGTTCCAACTATATCCAAAAAACAATTACCTCACCGCAGGATGGATTAAAGCTTTAAGTTTAAAATTTGATGTTTTTCGGTTTAACTATTTTTGAGTTATCTTCAAAATTCGAAATATACACTTTTCCTTAAATATCTCGAATACGGTCTATTTTATAGAAATCATGTATAGGACAAAATTACAGAAAATGACATCACAACTTTTATTAGAACAATTTTCTTAAAAATTCGAATTTTGCACTTTTTGTTTGCCGTTTTTCTTTAGATATAATTTAATGCCTGTTGTAATATTAGCCAAAAGATTAGTTGTTTTTCTGAGAGAAACGGTTGCTCGTATTATTGTGACACTTGCATTTAGTTTATTTTTGTATGTCAGTATATTAATTAAATATATTGTATGAACTTACCTTCCAACGTGACTTTGCAAAATTCTTTTTAAGCTGTTCTGATACAGTTCCATGGATGTTTTTATTACTAGCAGCATTACCAGATATCCTAAATTGAATTATTACTGTATTAAACAAAATGTCTTGAATAATAATAAATAATTTACATTCCATAGATAAAAATATAACTTTTTGGTAGGTTTTAGTATACAGGTTATCTGTAAAAGTCTTTACAAAAATATATCACATATTTGAACGCTACACGACCCTGAAGTTACAATTTTAAAATTATTTCTCCATTAAAAATTTAAAACAGCTTATGCAATACAGATTTTTATTGTGACAAAAAAAATGTATCAAAATATCTACGCCAATTGGAGAAAAGTAACAGCCCGTTGTCAACGGAAGCCACGGTAAGAGAGGTCAACCCAAGAAGCCTAAAAAACACCCATAAAAATGGCGGCGTACCAAGGCAAAACTAACTATGGCGATAGCGAATCAGACTCTAAAGAACTAATGGAAGAAATGTTGAAGAGTGGAGAGGAATCTGGGCCGCAGTTCAAGAAGGGATATTTCCATAACGGTGCTCTGTTCTTGTTATGTGCCAATGACGCTGCTAAAACCTGGGTCTTCGAAATAAACACCCAGCTCCAACCAAGGAAGGTACCATAACTTATGGTGGGACCCTCTAGTGAGATTATCCAAACCAACAAAGTTGTGGCTTGGAAACCACAAACATACTTGCGTTCCTAAAAACCCAAAATCAAGGGCTCCAAACAGAACAGTAGCAAGTTATTCACAGGCAAGTTGAAGACAACGGTCAAACCACTGTACTGAAGGCTTTAGAAAACCTGCAGTTAAAATTCTATCTGGTAACACAGGAAATTTTCAGAGTAAAAAGGAGAGGATGGAAGAACTTTCAGATATTCAGAATAGTGCAAGCTAATCTGAAGCACTGCAAAGCGGCCACCACAAAGAAGAAGCTTTTTGTGTGTAAGGCTAAAAAGAACAAAGCAAGTAAAATTTTTAGTCAATTTCTAGAATGAGATCTTAAACAACTGGAATCGGCTTGTTTTGGTCTAAGGAATATGTGGTATGTTTTTGAAAAGACCTTTTACAGATAGAAATAGATTTTAGAAATAAATTACAATTCAAGGGCTTATTGGAAAAACGTGACAAGCCACAAAATTAATTCAATGAAAAAACACAATTTAAAGAAATTTCTAAAACTATTACAAGTTGATGATGGCATGTGTTGAAAAATATCCATTTGATATGTGATTGTAATCCTATTACTTATTTCGTTTTTACAATAAACCCTTGCATTTTAAAGCTAACCATTAATTTATATAATTTAACTTACCAAGGATGACCTAGGGCTTGACGACATGTGTATCTTTTTTCAACATTGACACACATCAAATTCCTTATAAAATCCTTTGCCGAATCGCTAATTTCATCCCAATAAGGAGAATCGAATTCAAATTCACCTGTAAACACAAAAAATACAACTTCACATAAACTGATAAGTAATTTTGAACATTGTACAACAAAAAATGAGACACTAGCGTTTTAGAAATCCCTTTTCAGTTAATCGAAGTATTTTTTGTTAGTAGTACCTTTAAATGTGTTTCATCTATGTTTAAAAGTTTCAATATTAGATCTACATACCTTTTAATATTTGCGCAAATAAATTGGCATCATTTTCGTCGTAAAATGGTGGATACCCACACAATAAAATATAAGATATCACTCCTATGCTCCAAACATCGACTGCTTTCCCATAGGGCTTCTGAGCAAGTACTTCTGGAGCTAAAACATATTTTCTAATCTTTAACTGTTATCTTGGAAAAGCCACTGGGATTAGGATGAGGTAAAAAAAGGATTTTTTTAAGAGAAAGAAATTAAGTTGCTTGGAAAAATACTAGATTTATTAAGGGCTGTCCTGGCCTAGGATCTTTAATGGACTGTAATTAAAAGAAGGAATACCTGTTGATGTCCTTTGAGGTGCCGATTGTTTCTGAATATATAGCAGAATTCAAATTCACCTGTACTGAACACTGTTTTATTATAACAACTCAAAACACCACACACAAATCAAAAATAACATTAACAAGGATATGTACATTTAGTTCACTTAGAAAATTTGTCACAGGCCATTAAATTGGATTTACTTTTTTATTGTAACGACTGTCATGGCGGTATTTGGCATATAACGAACGAGAGATGTTTACATGTTGAAATCTATTGTTGCTCCGATTTCAAAATATTAAAAAATGCAATCTATTTCGCGGCCAACCAATAACAGTTGTGGTATATTCGGATTCGCTGCAGTTTTTTTTTTGGAATTGAGTGTGCAGAGACGGCTTGAGCTAGTTTTTACTAGTGTCATAAATTTGAATTGTTATATGTTGAAACATTTTTCAACAATAGCCTTGTGCTTTTTTCACGCATGAGTAATGCAAAATTGTTGCATAACAGGAAAGGTGGATTAATATTTTTGTTGGAATAACAACTTCTGTTCACTATTCCAAAATTAGAATTATAAACACACTTACCAACATAACCTGGAGTTCCACATGCTGTGGCCATAATTCCAGAATCCTCCATCTTAGAGAGTCCAAAATCACTAATCATAATTTTACTATCTTCATCTGGACAATAGTAAAGTAAATTTTCAGGCTGTAATAATTTAATTATTAAGTTATATCGATACAAATTTAAAACTCTGATACGAACCTTAAGGTCACGATGTACAACACCTTGCTCATGCATGTAGTCCACAGCTTCCAAAACTTGCCTAATTAGATCTGCCGCATCTTTTTCTGTGTATGAACCTTTTTCAACTATTCTATCAAATAGTTCTCCACCAGTGACTCTGTAATATTGATATAAAAAAAACATTCATCAAACAGTCCAAAAGACAATGAATATTTTTTGATATTTTTATTTTTTCACAGTTATATTTCGATCACATTATGAACCCTAGATCGGTATCCTTCAATTTCTACCGCTTGATGGTAGGCCATGTAAAATTTACGCATTCACATGTTTTTACATGTACACTTTGTAAGATTATCTATTTCGTAGTTTTTTTTATATCAATGTAGTAACTAAAGACGTATTTTTAATGTGTTTTAAAAATAAAAGCCCAGGCAGTTGGTTTAAAATCATAACATGGTTGGAAAAATTTACCTACCTTACCAACTTTTTATACTTAATACACATAAAAAACAATTTAGTTGATATCTTTGATCTCCTTTTCCTGTACTGTAACCGAAATATCAATACAACAAGAAAAAACTATAAAAATGTACTTACAGTTCCATAATTAAGTACACCTTTGATTTGTCTTCGAATGTTTCCAACAGTTGTACAATGTTAGGATGTTTTAACCTAGAACAAATAATTAGATTTTTGGCTTGAATTGGTAAAATTCCGCGATGGCTGGGAATCTAATAATAACTAGAATGAAGATTTTTTTTTATTATTTATTCATGGGCCTTGCCCATTTTCAATACAAAGTTACAAATAAAAACAAAAAACCTCAAATAGAGCCAATCTAAATAATATGTCATAATAATGATAAACTAATAAACTAACAACAAAAATCTAGGGAATTTAAGTCACAGTAAGTTTTAACACGCTCACAAAATTAGAAAAGCTTGAATTAAAAAATTCTAGACTATCAGCACAAGCATTAGCGCTTCATGAAACTCTAGGCCGGAATGAATTAAGGCCAGTATTAGTTCTCATGTAGGGCTGATGAAAACTGTTTATTGATTTTGTGCTTCTAGTTGGTGCTGCCAACAACATGCTTGAAATCAATGTAGGCCAGAGAGCTTAAAAAATAATTTCAGATCTGCCTGATCTCTTCTTATTCTCAAAGTTGGCAAGGAGAATGTCTCTTGCAGTGCCGCAAAATCATAGGAATAGTCATCTATCCGTGGATTATTTGATTTAAATGCTAAGTAGCAAAGAAATTTTCTCTGAAACTGTTCTAATCTATGAATGTGACAAGTATACTAGGAGTTCCAGACTGAAGAGCAATATTCTAGCAGAGGCCTAATAAGACTACAGTACAATAACTTTATAGCAATAGTACTTGTTAAGTCTGATGTGTTTCTCTTTATACACCCAAGCATACCAAGTGCTCTGGGTACTATTGTGTCGATGTGATTGACAAATGACATAATAACACCCAGATCTCGAACTTGGGACATTGGTGTACCCTTGATATTATATTGATAATTAATCCTGTTGATCTTCCTAGTAAAGGATATCGAGTAACACTTAGTGATGTTTAGGTCCATAGCTTTATTCGTACAGCACTCATCAAGCCTAGCCAGATCAGACTGAAGTTTGAGACAATCCTCAAGAGTTGAAACTGCTAGGTAGCACTTTAGGTCATCAGGAAAGCATACAAATTTGGCAAACTTGAAACATTCTGAGATATCATTTATAAATAATAAAAATAACAAAAGTTCCAAATGGGAACCTTGGGGGACTCCAGATGGATTGGGAATGTTTTTAGATCTGTAATTATTCAATTTAGCAGTTTAGAATCTTTCAGATGGATATATTATGCTTGGTATTCTATATTATACTCTTCACAGTTTAACAGACCCCCTTAACCTTAATTTTAATCAGATTTTTTTTTCGGAAATAATAGGATTCATCCCCTTATAAAGCTTGATTTTTCCTGAACATTTCAAGTTGATATCATTTTTCGTTTTTGACTTATTGTGCAGACAAAAAACGTGACATCAGATGGATGGACAAAGTAAATCTATATTACTCTTTACAGACTACTGTGTGAAGAGTATATTATTAATAATGCTTTATTTGCTGCATATAAATAAATTAGAAACAATAAAAAAATACAGAAATGTAGCAAAAAGTACCAACACTATTAAAAAATATACAGAGTGGAAAGTCTAACAAGAACAAATTCTTTAACTTAATAAATAAAGGTTTGTCGAGAAATTCCTGAATCAAGTCAATTTTTATTTTCAATGGGGCATATAACAAAGAGGTTTGTTTATTGTTTTTAACTATCTGGAGGTTCGTAGACACCACCAACTGTTCTATTAAATGGAAGAGTAGGTTGATTAATTTTTTATTTAAAAGCTTTATCAATTACAAATACATTTTCTTATTTGTTACTTTTTATAAGCAATGTGCCAGAAAAAAAATAAAATAAGGATATATTTACTGAAACTACTTTAATGTAATAAATGTTCAAAGTGCTCTCCACCTTGTTGTTGACAATATTCTAAACTTTTAATTAATGGTAATTAAAAATTAATTATTATTTACAAAAAACAAGCGATAAAATATTAATAACATTTCAATTCTTAGCATACATTAATAAAAATCTCTAATATCTGAATGCGAAATGATTTGTTAGACTACCATGAAGGTTTATCATACAATTAGAATCCATTTAAAATATAAAAAATAAGTAAATGGCAGAACATTACATTAAATAAAATCAAATATTAACAATTTTGTAATGTTTTGTTTTTATACTTTTATTAAAATAGTTGGTATTGTTTATTAATTTAGACCTTATCATTTCAAAGTTCAATAAATGTACCAACAATTATACATAGTAGTCAATTTAAAATTTAGATATATCGTTTAGTTTGAGATTTGATTAATACTGTATTAAAAAAAGCATTTAAAATAAAAATATGTTTGATTTTGCCAATTTAAGAATATTCAAATGTCATTTAAATAAAAAATGTTTTAAACTAGTTGGATACATTTAATTACAGCAGGTCAAAGTACCCTGTATAAACTATTAAAACTGTATTTTTTTTTACTTACTGCTTTGGTTGAAGATAACATGCAATTTAATTGATTTAAAAAAAATTATAATAGCAAGGAAAATGAAAATAATTTATATAGAAAAATAAAAACCTATTACAAATATGACATTGATTCAAATTTGAAGACTGTAACTAATTATATAACTGCATAATTATCAGAGTTTTTGGGACACCTGGTATATAGTTGTTTTTAAAAACAAACTCAAGTTCCCTATACTGTGAATTAAATATTTATATTAGTTTGTCAATCACTAACATGTGGTGGATAAGTATGATACTGCGTCACATAAACAATTATATCATTATGTTGATAACATGTTTGTTAAAATCAATTTACATCTTTTAAATATCTAAAGAAAACCTAAAAGCCATTTGTATTCCTTAGAGTGGACAATAAACTGGGGATTATGTCAATTTTAATAATTTTATCAAAAAAAAAAAAAAAAAAAAAAAAGAATGTGTAAAATTTACTAAACTAATTTATGTCAGGATTTAATTAAGAATTTGTTATGAATAATTACATTGACAAGCCTAGATGTATTAATAACAGCATTCTAAAAATAACTAACAAATAAAAAAATTAAGATCAATAAAGAGGAGTGGACATTCTCGAAAGGAGTGCCGCAGGGATCAGTTCTAGGGCCGATCCTGTAGAATGTCCTTTACTAAGGGGTCCTAAAGGAGGAATTAATGGAAAGTGCAAAGGCTATAGGGTTCGCTGACGATCTAGACGTTTTGGCGAGAGCTAGAAACTATGTTTTTTTGTACCATTAAAATTTTATCAAAAAAAGATTTCCTTAGAAGTAACGAACGAATACAAAGCAGTGTCATTCAGATCAGCGTAAGTAGTCTCTGCAATAGTGCCCATTTACCTACTGATGGAAAAAAGTTAGACTACAGTAATGCATTTGTTGGTTTCTTGATTTCAATCTCAAGGCAGCCAATTACAGATTTTTCTTTAATGGAGTGGGAAGATTTAGTTTGATCATGTCTCTTGCAGGACAAAAAATAAATAAATTTTCAATAAAACTGGCACTCTTGTTAATTTTCATTGAGATTGAGCTGACTGTTAAGCCAAAGTTATGTACTGATCTTACAAATGGATCATTTAATCTAAAAGAATACTGGTGTTTCTTCCAAAATCCATATTAAGAAGAAATGTTCTACTGGTGAACCTAAATAAAACTTGAGAGTTGCTTTTATACAAATTCATATTCATTTGAACTCTATCAAAATCTCCTGAAGTATATCCTGCACAGTGTACAGAACAAATTGGCACTGATGATGACCTACTGAGCTGTATTTCAATTTGTGAATATCCAGCATAATTTTCAATTAACATCTTCTTTTAATCGAATCTGATAACTGAGAATATTACATTATTTTCAGTGATATATTTGTGGAATTATGGTGTTTTTCATTATAATTAGATTCCAGGTTAATTTAAACACAATCCAGTTTTCACAGTCCTCTTCTAACTAAATAAACAAGCATATGACAAAATTAAAACTGGCTATAAAGTAGTCTTCACAACAATAATATCCAATATTTTTTGGAACAGGTCGACCAACAGCCAAAAACTAGCTATTTGCCACATTCTCATTTTAATGTAGGGAAGCTTCTAAACTTACGCCGAAAGTAGCAAAATAGGACTTCAAAAAATGCTTGCAAAGGGATTTTTTTATTGTTATAGAAGTCTAAGAAGCAAATTATTTAATTGCCAGCAAATTGATGTGAAACACTATTTTTAATTTGACAAGTTAGACAACAGCTCCCACCACCGGGATATAGTACATATTGTTCACCCCTTTCCCATGTACCTAACAACAAATAGCAAGCCAAAAACACGATTTGCCACTTTTTGTAGTCAGATGTAGGACTATTTGTCCTTTACCATCCAAATAAAGAGGTTGTATTTATAGCATAGAAATCGTTTGCCTTTGGAGTTCTTCAATTCATCAGCATAGAAATTAATTTTATCATTAAAAATAAAGGGTCAATAAATGAGTCAGTAACTACCAAAATATAAGCTAAGGTCACAATTTGACAAAATTATCGACTATATCATCTTATGAGTTTTTATCCAAGATTTAATTTAGAAGAACTACAAGGAATAATAGTATATTTGCAATTCAACTTCACCTCACTAATTATGCTTACCATGCACTTCTACCTAGACTAATCAATACAATTGAGATATCATTTGGGGTTCAATTAACCAATCTCAGAATGGATGTAAAAATATATTTTTAATCTCTTTGATGTATTTAATATTAGATTTATTGCACCTTTCATAATGTATTTAAGCTATTTTATATTTTATGAAATTTATGTATACTAATGGATAGAACAAGAAGGGTTAATGCTAATAATATCCAACTAGCAGTACACCTTTAGCCAAAAAAAGATCTACTGAAACTTCAAAATGAAATTTGCAATAAAATGTATAATTAAACAATTAAAATAATCCTCTTGCCCTTTATTTCGACATAAGCAAATAATTTGACACTACATATTATGATCTTCTTCTAGAGAATCTTAATCACTTGGATATTGAGGTGCTACAAATGACTGGTTCCTGTGAAGAGGGTAACAAATTCCAAATCAAGTCCTGGCTTATAACAGATAATATCCTTCAGGGGTCAGTTTTGGCACCCCTATTTTTCCAACAACTAGCTTAACTGTTGCTTATGCTGATGCACAAACTAATGGAATACATTCGTGTGACTTATAAGGCCCCTGAAAATAGGCTGTAGTCATACTGAACATGAAGTTGATTATTTTGAATTTTATGTTTTCTGTCCATAAGGAATAGGAATAATAGTACATATTTCAACTGCAATTACCTATTTTAAGTTCACAGTTACAGTGAATTCTACATATTAGAATAAGATTTACTATATAGAGACCTGTAAATATTTTGGGTAGCTTCATAATTCATTAAAATGTGGGGCTATATTTTCTGAAAAAAATTCAAAAGACTAAAAAATTGCATTTTAAGTTGCTTAATCAAAATTGCAAATATCTACTGAATGAGTAGCAGCAGCAGCAATAGAATTGATGATATAAAGTAGGTATATTTGTTGCACATTTTGATTTAAACAAAACTTAAACATTTGTTTGCTTATAAAAGACAATTTGTAACAGTATACAAGTTTTTGAATCTAGGTTAAAGAACAAATATTAATTATGAATGGATCTGTAATATTTAGTATAAGTAAACTGTCATGATTTTTAGAAATAAAATTACCTAATATACAACTAATTTATCTTTTATTATAAGTAATGTTATTGAAAAGTTCATAGTATTAACTATTAACCTTGATAAATTATGTATACTTTCTTAACTCAAATTTAAGTACCAGGAAATGGTTTTAAAATTAAACTGCTTCTAAGAAATTAATTTTTTTAAGGAATTAGATGATGAAAACCATTTAAAAAATAAAACATCTACTCACCGCCGCAGGACCTTGATTTCATTTTCCAAAGAATCTTCTTTGCCTTTTAAAGCTTTCTTATCAATAATTTTGACCGCATGCATTATACCAGGGTTATCCTTGCTCTCTGCAAGTCTTACTACTGAGAAAGCCCCACTAAAAACCAAGTACAGAGATTAGGATATATATTTTTTAAGAATTAATTATTTAACTTACGTTCCTAATAATTCTTTTAAATAATATTTGTCTTCCAAACATGGTTTGTCGCTATCTTTTGGTTCCTTCTTCGGTTTCTTTTCTTTACCAAATAAAGGCATTTTCTTTATTTTCTTTCACTTTGTTCACTATCATATATGCACAACTGTTTTTATAGTCTTGAATGCAAGCATAACATTACAAAGCAACAACTAATATTTGTATGTTTTAACAAACGCAAATTATTTGTTTTCTTTGCAATAAAATAAAATACGGTTATCACAATTACTTCTAAACGCCAAATAGCTTGATTAAGATTGATCAACGATCAACTGACCAATTTTACCAAATGTTACAATGTTATTGAATGTTATTTTGCCTATTGCACAAAAAACGTCTGTTGTGTGTGCAAGAAAAAAGAAAGACGTCAAAATCGTCAAATTACGTTCGGACATACGTCAAATAATTCGAGGCCGCGATCCGCATCTTCTTTTTTTTTAAATCGGCAGCATGGGTGATTCTGTTTTACCAGCCCCGATGTATAGTAAAATCAAAATACTTCAAAGAAAATTGAACTAAATAAAACACAAGTCTTTTTTTACAACGCACAACCTACTTTTTATAAAAGAAAAGAATATTTTTAATATTAAGATGTTGACTGAATACGGTACAGGCCAAATAAAAAAGAAGAATGATAAAATATTTCTAAACTAGATGGCTATGGATCGCGATTTAGAGATGAAGATGACGCCATTTTAAATTTTTTGAACTTGTGTTTCAAATTTAGTGAATTTTCTATATTGAGGTGAGATTTTTTTAATATCTGAGTCTAAGTAATACTAAATTTATCTAAATTATAACCTATTACTATCGCTCACGTCCTAGGTATAACATAAAATTGTATTTAAAAGATGCAAGGCACATACCTGCAAAATGTAAAGGGACGCTAACAATGTGATTTAAAATTCTTTGCAATACAGGTGTTATTTTGTATAAACTTGCTCTTCAGTCAAATACCTATTATATATGCTACATTTACAAGTAGTTGTATATTATGCAGGATGTAGGGATATTATACCCTGCAACCTAAAAGATTTATTGTGCCCCCTTCCTCTTTCTGTCGCTAATACAGCAAGGGAATAGTCTCGATGCCTATACAACCCTTTCTAATCCTATTTTCTCAAGGAAATGTAGGATTTGTAATGACTCCAAGATACATAGATCGCCTTCCTTGCTCTATTTCGTAAGCTCCTCCTCCAGGATGTGAATGGAGGTTTCGTCCTCTTCACAAAATCTGCACTCACTAAGAAGGTTTACTGAGATGCCCCTTGAGTCAGGAATGCTCAATGCCCAGTAACGATCCCTTTTACAATAGCTTTCGATTTGCCCTGCACAGAACACCTACCTTTTGCTACCTTGCTCTTCTCATATTGCAAATATTCACTCATACAAAATAAGGTATTTCATAACTTGTTATAATACAGGGTGTCCCAATAAAAAGTAGCCCATTTCCAGAGCTTATAACTTTTAAACAAATCGTAAAAACGTGAGGTTTTTGCCGATATGTTTTATTTTGCTATAAGTTTTGCTTCAGTGACACAGAAATTATGTATTACCTATACAGGGTTTTTTAAAAAATCTTCTAAATTCACCGTTACTAAATTTTATCAAATGGAAACGGGCTACTTTTCATTGGGATATATAAATAGCTATTTTGGGGTCGACGATTTTTGTTCTTCAATATGAATATATTGCTTTATTAATTATTTTATTATTAGATGATTAAATAAAATCTAAATACTTACCTAGAACAAATATGAGTTTGTACATTAGTTTTTCGTCATTTGATAATTTTGCTTGTGTACAGAGTGTCCCATAGACATGCAAAACAAGTTTCAAATAAAAGTTTTATGGATAAAAGTCATAATTTTAAAATAATTTCATTTTTATAGGGTTTTACAGGTTTTTAGATATTCAGAAAATCTTTTTTTACTTTTTAAAATGTAGAGTTGAAAAAAAAATAATATTATACACGGTTGGTCACAACGGTAACGCCTCGGTTTATAAAGGAAAAATAGTTTATTATACAGGATTTTTAAGAAAAATAAAATATCAATCTCATTTTCCCTTTCTAATAATGTAAGGGTTAAACAAAAATAAAAACGTATACAGGGTGGTCCACCCATAACATCTTGGTTTATAGAGCCAAAACTAATGGTTTTTATAAATCCATTACGAGATGTATATTAGAAAATACAAAAATTTAAAAATAATTTCAATTATATAGGATTATCCAGAAAAGTAGTAAATATCAAAGTTAGGTTTTTTAATGGTACCCATTTTTATAAATGCAGAAAATGTTTAAATCTGTTTCAACTGTAAGATGAATATTAGAAAGGCAACAATTTAAAACAAAATAATTTATACAGGGGTTTTCAGGAAAGTAATACATTTTAAAGTAAGGTTTTTTAAATGGCACTAAATAAAAAAAGTACCTATACAGGGTGGGTCACCGGTAACGTTTGGTTTGTAGAACCAAAACTAATTGTTTTTTTTTTTAATCTGTTTCCACTGCAAAATGTATATTAGAAAAGGTAACAATTAAAAAAATAGGGTTTTCCAGGAAAGTAATACATATCAAAGTTAGGTTTTCTAAATAGAACCCATTTTTATAAATGCAGAAAATATTTTTTTTCCTTTTTAAAACTATAAGGATTTAAGAAAAATAAAGTATACAGTAGCGTCTAAGTTTGTAGAGCCAAAACTAATTGTTTTTTAAATCCGTTTCCACTGCAAGATGTATATTAGAAAAGGCAACAAACAAAAATTAATTATACAGGGTTTTCCTGGAAATTAATATACAGGGTGGCGCATTCTATACTCGTCGATCTCTCTGTAGGGAAAACGACTTTTTTTTCTTATTAGGGATATACAAAACCATTAACACTACCAATTAAAAATAATTTGGATTATACAGGGTGACCCAAAAATAGGAATTTATATCAAAGTTATGTTTTTTAAAGGGAACACCCTATATTTGATGGTGTCTTTTGATTCCCTCCCCGAAAAAAATAAAGTAAAGTTTTTGAAATGTTTCCTGTACCTAACTCTTTTCGTTTTTGAAACATTTAATGGATTCTTAATTTGTAAGCTTGAACAACATAACCTAGTATGTCGCGGTTATTTAAAACACATCAACAGTCACCTGCGATATGCGTAGCCAAGATATTAGACTATCGAATAAAATGCAAATTTTTCCATTACATCATACAGGGTGCTTATTTAGTCTAATTGAATTCGACTTACATATGGAGTTGAATAATATTCCTATTTTAAATGGCACACCTTGTATTTAATAACATAAACTAATAGACATTTAAATTATCTTTCATTCCATATAAGATTTCCCTATGCCTAAATTCGATGGATCTTTAGTAAATAGCCTGTTTTTTATTTTTAACATACGGATTTTATCATTATTTTTTAATCATAGGATCCATAGAGCAAATATCACTCAAAATGTGGTATTGAACGAAATAAACATTTTTATCACTTTTCAATGTTAAATAGTTTCAATGTAAACCAAAACTATAATTTTTTTAATAAAAAAAAACATTTAATGACAAGAAAATTTGAATTATTTGAAAATTACACACAAATGAAAAAGAGTAAGAAACAAATTGAAAACAAAACAAAAAATGAATTATAAAAAATGTTCAAAGTGACGCCCATCTTGTTCTAAACACAACTGAACTCGTTTTTCAAAGGATCATTTCACTTTCAGAAGAATTTCTCCAGTTAGTATCTGAAAAGCAGCTCTTGTTCTAGCTTTCATATCTTCCAGAGTAGTTGGCGGGGTGTTATAAACTATACTTTGTATGTGTCCCTATAAAAAAATACAGGGTGTGCCATTTAAAATAAGAATATTATTCAACTCCATATGTAAGTTGAATTCAATTAGACTAAATGAACACTCTGTATGATGTAATGGAAAAATTTGCATTTTATTCGATAGTCTAATATCTTGGCTATGCATATCGCAGGTGACTGCTGATGTGTTTTAAATAACCGCGACATGTTGTTCAAGCTTACAAATTAATAATCCCTTAAATGTTTCAAAAACGAAAAGAGATAGGTATAGGGAATATTACAGACACTTTACTTTATTTTTTCGGGGAATCAAAAGACACCATTAAATATAGGGTGTTTCCTTTAAAAAAACATAACTTTGATGATATAAATTCCTATGTTTGGGTCACCCTGTATAATCCAAATTATATGTAATTTGTAGTGTTAATAGCCCTGTATATCCCTATTAAGAAAAATAATTAAAATTTTAAGTTGTTTTCCCTACAGAGACCGACGCGTATAGGATGCGCCACCCTGTATATATAAAAGGTTTTTATAAATATGACATGCTCTGTATTTTAATTTCTAATGTATAGACTAGACAAGACTGTATGAGAATTTTTTTGTAAATCCATAAATAGAGAGTAATTGTAAAAAAAGTGCTGACTCTTTTAAGACTCCTTAGATAAATCTGTAGCTTAGAGGTAAAGAATCGTATCCCCAGTTTTGTATTAAGTGGAGTGCATTCACTAAAATACCTATAGTTTTTTTTGGAGAAAATCGTCAAGCACTAACTAGTTTGTTGTATGTTTTAAGAAGTAAAAAGTCGTATCTCTAACTTTAGGCTTCATTTTCTCTAAATCTATAAGATTTGAGATAAGATTATTTACGTCTAAGTTACAGAAATATCCTCTCCTTTTTACATTTTCAAAATTTTCTATTAATTGTTGTTTTTCTTTTCAGTGAATATCCGGAAAGTCAGTCGTAAAGAAACATTTAAATCGCCGCAAATTTCTCGAAGTAGTCGGTAGCACACGATATCAATGATTTGAGCTCATGTTCATTTCACCTCTGACAATAAAGACGTTTCATCTTAGAATGTATGTCCTTCGATATTTAATGATTTAGATTATATTGTCTTGGGATGTACCTTTCAGGATCAAATGGACAAGGCTGCAGATATACTAGCCGGAGATACATCTACGTATCAAAGGGTTGCTATAGAATTGAACATGATACGATAATCATTAATGTCGTCGGGCATAGAAGATTTGTCCGGACGCGTTTTAATCGGGAAACTCAACTGGAAATAATGGAGAAATATGGAGAATACTGGTACAACAAATGGGACAGATAGTGAAGGAGGAATAAGCGGCTTCAAATGGTGAGTCTTCTGATTTAAATTTAGCTTTTTCTGTAAACAAATTACTTTTACTGAATTTATGGTTTATTTTTGTTTTTATTAACATTTTTTTGTACTTTTAGGTAAAATATGCGGCTTCAAAAGGTGAGTCTTTTGATTTAAATTTTTTTATTCGTTAGGTATACAGGGATGGTCGAATTTTATCTTTTTTTTTGCATTGCAGTATTATGTAGATTAGAAGTGCTGATAATCTATAAATCTTATTATCTTATTTTTTTTTATTTTTTTATTTTTCAATTCAGTTATTCTTTTAATATAATTAAGGCATACACTTTACCAATCTGAGAATGAAGAAAATAAAAGCAAAGTATAAAAACAAATAAATATATATTTTTTATAATTGACATTAACAAGATCCATTTTTTACGATCCTTAATAAGGAACTGTACTGCGCAGAAGATGCAAACACATATGTTTGCATGTTTAATTTAAACGATACCAAATTTGTCAAACCATCTAGTTTTCCTGTAGATTTTAATTTAAATCCCTCTAAAAATTGGTAAGCATATATATAATACTTTTCTTGGGATGTAACTAAACCTAAATAGGCGTCACTTATGCCAAAATCTAAAAAAATAAAAATATTGTTAATAAATTATAACTCTGAAACTTTTTAGTGGAAATTAAATGAGTCGAGTGTTTTGTGATTTATAACAATGGAGTGAGCAATTAAATATATATGACTAAAGCTTTAATTTTCCAATAACACAGTTCTTAAATGTTTAAATACAATCTTTGTTGCCCTATATACTACTTAAACTATTCATTGCTATAGGTATGTTTTTAGTGTACTTTATATTATTATCCAAAAATCAGTTGACCATGGTAAAATCACACATTTTATCCTATATAATTTTTTAACTTTGTTTAAAATTAACTCAGTGAATTACACCCTGCACTACAAAAATGACACGGTCTTATATTTCATTGAAACCTACAAAAATTCATATAAGTATTATCATCTACACGACCATTAAAATCTGCAAAACAATATGTAGACCTCTCACTATTAAACATTCAAGTTTTCCGAAACGTCTTCACTGAGAATAATTGCAAAGATGCGGCACCCAGGAAACATCATACTCATACTAATTTCCGTGTTCATATTAGCAAAATTTAGAAATTTAATTTACCTCCTACATAAAACGATGAAATACCAATAACAGGTTGATCTAACTCGAAGCTCTGATAGAAATAATAATTGTCAAACTCCGGATAGTATTTGAGAACTTGTACAGGAGCTTCTTTATGTGCTAGAGCTATTAAACTATCAGATCCGTGTACAACGCCAGCAGCACTCGAACATCCGAATGTTGGTATCGTCCGTAAAAGAGAGAACTATAACAAAAATATAAAATCATTAAAAAATATTAGTTAACATTTTTGGCAATAGATATGATGAAATAAATATTTTTCCTACGATACTTATCGCACTATTTAGTGCCTTCTATCATACGCGTGTGTATAAAGATCTACTTTTCACCCGTGTGTGAATATCTAGGTACTTTCCACATCAGCTGTCAAATATCTCTCATAATTTCTATTTCAATCAATGTAATGTCAGTATTAGTAGTCAAATAGATTTGATGATTAAATTGTTAACATTGAATTTTATACCTAGATCCTAGATATTTATTTTTAACAAATTATTAAAATAATTTTACAGTAACTACATTATTTTTACATTTATTTTTTGTTAATATACATATTTGATTAGATAATGTATGTGATATAAGCTTGGTAGCCTAGTTCATAGAGCGTTTAACTTTATCAACTTAGTATGTCGCGACCATGTCTAGACGCGGGGTCAACCTACAATGGAAACAATTTAAAAAAAAAATACGACTATTTTCTTTATTTATTTTAAATACACTTTGTTTATCATAATATAACCCCTATTTTGATTACTGTTCAGAAAAAGTTGTAAGTAGTTAAGTAGGTAATCATATTTAATAATAAAAAAGTTCTCATTCACGGTTCTTCATCTTACTATTTGTTGCATTAAAAAAAAATAAACTAATGAAACATTATTCTATTTTAATGTTTTTTTGTATGCATTGTTATTTTACCGTTTTCATTCTATGAAAGTCACAATGTTTTTTATTTCGACAAAATACCATCCGTAAAAATTTAAAATTTATTTAATAAAGCATATAAAAAACAAATCTAAAACCAGCCGCATTTTGATTAAACCTTTATAGCCAGATTTACTGGTTTTATATTTTTTTGATAAAATTATTTTGAGGTCGTAGGAAAAATACTGTACATCACTTCTGTAAAAATGATTTTTCACTCATGCTATTCTTACCTGCTCTTTTTCTGGATTGAACCTAAATATTTGAGTTTCTTCTTGTTTATGATGAAAATCTAATGGCATTTTGTTTCCAAGTATTAGTACTACTCCTTGGGCTGTTGGTAATAAGTAAACTTCTTCTACTCCCTTGGTAGGTATAATTTGAATTTCAAGTACACGAGTCTAAAAATAAAAAGAACAAAAAAGAAAGGGTAAAGAAATAATAGTAATAAAGAAATTAGTAATTCCTCGGCATTTCTTGCAATTCTTCGACATTTCTTGCAATTCCTCGACAATTCTTTGGTAATTCCCGTAATTTTCCAGCAACTAAAATTCTGATGAAATTAAATTTTTATCTTGAATTCGGTTTTTTGGGTTCTTTCTAAATATGTAAACAATTTTTAAAAATCGTATATACAGGGTGTTATTTTGAAGCATTAGTAGAATTATTTGTTAATTTTTTCCTAATCCAGACTTTGATTTTTTTTTGTAAATACTCAAATCGGTGAGACATTTCAAAGAAAGTTCGTATGTTCAATATGAAAAAAATCTATTGGGTGGTTCGTAAATTACGTATCAAGAAATAATTGAACAATATTAATAAAACACTGTGTTAGTCACGAAGGGGGGGCTAGACCCATTAATGAAAGTTTTTTGGAATTGCCGTACATTTAATGTACGGCTACTTCATAGTGAAACATCCTGTATTTAATTTGAAAAAAAATATATGTAATTTCAATAATTAATAAAAACATTGAATGGGTATTTATTTACCTTATTATCATTAAATCTTAGTACACTGCAATCTAATTCGTATTTATCTGTCACAGGATCATAGTACCGCCCCACGACTGCATATGTTTTGCCATTAAGTGTGAAGAAATCAACTTTGCTTACGTAACCACTTAAAAATTTGTCGTACTGGTGAAACTGGCCTATTGTATTATCTTGACTTTTTGTATTCCAAGTCATCATAGATATTTCGTTGTATACTTTCGAGTGAGTTGTCCTAAAAAATTTGTCGTATACATTTAAATGAACCTTTCTGTATAGAAATAAGGGGAAATATGGGGAAAAAAGTTAAAGTTCTCATAGATAGTTGTCATAAATATTGTAGAGTTGTCCAAAATAGATTAATACAAATAGTGTTCTTTAAAGACTTTAATAACTTAAAATAGCTCATATTAAAGTTGGCTACTGTCAAAAATATACCAAATTTGACAGATAACTAATGCAATACCTAGCCAAGTTGAAAATGGCCTATTTTAAAATAGCAGAGATAATATTAAAAAAAATCCCGTATGGATCCAACACTATGGAACACACTGTACTTAGGTAATATGTTTGTTAAGGAAAACCGGACCTCTACCGAAAGCAATGATGTTTTAAGGATTTTCTAATATAAAATTATATTTATATGTGCACTACCGGGAATACTTCTCGATGTTATATGTCTCGAGATTATTTAGAGCTTTAAATTTGTGCAACGATAAGACATCACTTTACAGAGACGTTTAAGAAAAAAAAGGTCGGAAATTATCCATTTTAAAAATTACTAGATATTTAAAAAAAACAACAAATCTTCAAAGATTTTTTTTTTGAAATTATCAAAATAAATACTTTTCGAAGGTTTACAAAAAATCAAAGTTTTTTCATTCTAAGTTTAATTATTATTGGTATTTTCTGAAAATTCCACAAAAACCGGACAAAACATAAAGGCTCAGAAGTAATTAGACATTTTCAAGGTTTTCGGTTTGATCTTAAACCTACAATGTCCTGTTAATAGGTTTACTGGTACTCTAGTATTTTTCCTATTATGGCTGCTGTATCTGTAACGTGTGGAGGATGGGTTAACTCACGGCACGTAAGCTTCAATAGGCCCATTGTGCATCCTCCTAAGTAGGCAAGCACCTCCTAGCTCGTGAGGCAGCCTACAGATTTATTGTAGTGGACAACGTCGCCAAGAGGTGCTTATCTTATATCGGCCGGTGTTAGCTAATTCGAACACAAATCTTCTAATAAATGAGAGCTTCGAATTCTGACAGAATGCCTGTGATAAGGCGCAGATTCTGTCTGGGCATAGTCAAGTATTTATCGGCTGTAGTGTTGTCAGGATAACTTAAAAGCTCCATGGCAAGTCTGCAGCTTCTTATTTCATCCTATCTTTGCTTAAATTAGGTTTGTCACTACCAATGTTGTCAGTCCAATATAAGGGCCAGGTCTAAAAAGTATTTGGTTGGATGCCTTTTTGATAAGTGAATCAGCAAGACGGTGTATCGTGACCTTTAATCCATCCCAAGTTGACCAATTGTTGATGGATACTTCGGCCAAAGCTTTGTAACATTCTAGTACTAACTCTGAGTAAATTCGTGATCTGTCCATGGTGAGTAGCGCTTATCTGCTATCTGTATAGATGAGCATGTTTCTTCCAGTGATATTATTTCTGGTAATTTCTTTTGCTGCCATGAGAATCCCTGTGGGCTGTTTGAACTATACTGGCATTACTTCTTACAGCATATTTTATATTTAGGTTTAAGGGTCTGTAATATATTCCACATCTTAAGCCTTTTTTTATTTTAGAACCATCGGTATAGATATGAATCGTATCTACCACTTCCGGCTCTTCTATTTGTTATATGACTTCAAGGTCTTCGGTTTGATCTTAAGCCTACAATGTCCTGTTAATAGGTTTACTAGTATTTTTCCTATTATGGCTTACTAGATGTTTTGGTGATGTTCCTTTTAAGAAATGTTTGGTTGTCTTTACCCTGGTGATTTTTTCGAACATTCCTGCTCTGTTCATGTTCTGATAGCTGTATTTGTAACACCATAAAAGGGTTCTGGGCTAATAAAAGCCTTTAAGGCTCCTTTTTGGGCTAGTAAATGAGCCCTTTCATTACCCTTATATCCTCTGTGGCCTGGTACCAGGGCTAAGGTTAGTCTGTTTTGACTGGTCAGCTCTGATAGGGTTTCCAAACAGTCCCACACAAGCTTGCATGGAACTGAGTGCCTTTAACATCGCTTGACTATGGTTTTTCCATTTACTGTATGTCTTAATACCTCTTTTTCGCAGTAATGTATTGCTGCTATTTCTGCCTAGATTACTGTCGTATACCTAAGCTCAACGAGATTTTTGTCTTTAACTTGGCAACTGTAAACTTAAGAGCATCAGCAATTTCTCTTAAAGAAATCATTTTTGCTTTGCTGTTCGAGTAGAAACGAGTTTCTACAAAGGACCTTTAAATTGGTATGGCCATTCACATCTCTCTGTTTTCAATAACTTTCGCATCTGGTGAGGGTAATCTTTGCAATATTTAATTGAAATGATTCGGATGCAACTTAGCAAGAAATTAATGTTAAAAGTTGATAATATAGTTTTAGAATATCTTACCTGCAAGTAGAACTCCTGCTAACACTGTTGGTCATGAAATTAACAGTCATAGAGTCATCATCGTAACTGAAAATTCTTTGAAATCCTTTATGCGGAAATTTGTTAATAGAGTTTTGTGGAGATATTTCAATAGTATATTGTACAGGACAGGAGCAGTTGCTAGGTAAGCCACAGTGAGTACCAGATTCGTGTCCATTGATGTGGAGCAAAACGTAGCCATTAGAGGTGATGGTAGATCCACTTACAGTATTAGGAAGAGTTATTTGTAATGAATTGGAATTTTCGAGGTACATAAAGTCAGTTGGTAAACCTAGAAAGTAAAATACATTAAATTATTAAGTTTAATTATTTTTTCACATTTTTACTTTGTACGATCGGTAGATTTTCATTAATTTTTTCGATTAATTGTTCCTTTAAATAATAAATTTCTTCACTTTCAATTAGAGTAGTATTAGAAGATAATAATTCTTTGATTGAAGTTACGGGAAAACCATTTATTGAGTTTGTAGTTAATGAACCATTTATGTTAGAAGATTTTAATAGAACCTAAAAATTAGAGTTACGTAGGCAAAATATAAATAAATTATAATATACTCACAATATTGCCATCTATTTCAACAGAACCCTCAAAAGGTATTGAATTTAAAAATTCATAAGTGATATTTACACCATTGATAATATTTACAGAAATATTTCCGTATACATTTACAGGGTGTTTAAAATATTTCACACTAGTAATATTTTGAGTACCTTCATCAAAAACGATATCTTCAACTTTCATATTATTGATATAAGGTGTTGTAAAATCTATAAACAAGATTAAAATTACAAAAATTAATAACTTTAACGATATAAATGACTCACTTTGAACTTCAACATTATCAAAATAGTATATGCCTGTAGCAACCTGGTTTTTAAATCCATTTATGAGTAATCTCTTTTCTATAAAACCAGTAAAATCTTGTTTGTTGTACATTTTTATATTCAAGTCACCCTTTACATCAAGGGTATCAAACACAGCTTCTGGAATAAGTTTAGGTTGATCCAAATTCACAATATCATCTGGATTTACACCACAAACAGTTTTACTCTGCAACATAAATATTAAAACAATAAATTTAGTGGATATATGAAATTATAAATTGTTAATTACATGAAATTTTTTTGTTTGTAACCCTCTGTAAAATATTTTCTTCCCTCTAATAACATTATCTCCATTTTTATCAATGATATCATTGTCGAGGGCAGTAACATTTTCTTCATTTAAAAAATCTACGTTTGTATCACCCAAAATATCGGAAACTCTTGTTCGTAAAGTTGTAAACCATTTTTCGCCCGTTATTTTCTAAAAAAAGATTATACTTTATAATTGTTTGCAAATTGAATTAAATTATTAACCTGTTCTCCATCTGATTTCGTAAGAACTGCATCTTCCAATAAATGAGGAATATGGACGTTATTAATGAGATTATTTGTATGCAAATTTTTCATCGAAGCACGTGACGAAATATTAACCTGAAAATAAAATCGAATTTGACCAAAATTAAATCTTTCTCAAACAAATAACTTACATCACAATGTATGATATTTCTGGTATTGAGTTTCACCGTTTTTTCAAATAATCTATATAAAAACGATTCTTCATCCAGTACAGTAACGTTGCCTTTTATTAAAATGTCCGTCCATTTTTGTGTTGGCGGATCAGTTAATTCGATATGGATTGTGTCTAATCCACATGGTTTTAACTGTGCTGCTTCCAAATTTCTCATAATTGCAATATTTGATAGCGATACTGATCCATTCGGTGAAAGTATTTTTTGAGGTGAAGTAGTATGAGTATCTATTATATTTTCAATAGGTACATTGTTTATTTTTTTGGTGAATATATTACCTGTAATAAAAAATGTGATATTTTGTTATTCGATTATTAAATTCATCATAATGGATCAAAATTTGAAATGGGTGATCGCATTACGTCAGTAACAACCAAAGTTAGAAGATTAATTTTTAAATTTTATGAATTGAGAAAATTTATGACTAGGAATTTACTAATTATTATTTACAATGTGCTGGTTGAATCTATTTTGCGATATGGTATAATGTGGACTATATGATATTGCACTTCAACTCCTTAATGTAATCCAAAATCGTATATAATTAAAATTATCTACAAAAAACTAGCATTATATAAAAGAGTATAATAAAAAAGTGCTTTGTATAAGAACATTATATTATCTGTCTTGCTGTACCTTTATTTATGAAAAGCCTGAATTGAGATACACTACAAATTATTTGCAATAAATATCAAAAGAAGCATACACACATTTTTAAATAATTTGACATTTAAGAGTCATTCACACATCATAGTTGACATCTTTATACTTGACAAACACAGCCTAGCTTTATTTTGATTTTTGCCAAATAAAATGGCCGGTTAATTATTCTATCGGGTTGCAACAGAGAGCCAGTAAATTTGATGGTGTTTTTGTGGCTAGGGGCGAAATAGTAGTATGTTTAAGTTAAAAAAGTCATTTTTAAGAAACTGCTTATATATTTTTCATAAATTGGCAGACTTGGCGACTAATTTCGAATAAAACTAGCCTCCAAAATGGCTGTTTGCAGTTATGAAGGTCACAACCCGCCTCAGAAATCTCATCTTTACAATCAAAAGCTGTTGTCTGACAGGTCGTTGGATAATGTTTGCAATGTGTGGAATTTAAAGAATGTTAGGAATGTTAGACGTTGGAAATAATTGGAATTCCTAAAATTAGTCACATAAGAAATGCATAGGCGGATTTTAAGAAAATTGATATTAAAGTAGTTAGGATGAACCGAAAATTCTGAAAATCAATAGGGTTCTAAGTTAGAAGTAATTATTCAAGAAAATCAGAACTTTCGTTCTAGAGTTATCGTGCCGGCATACATACACACAGACGACCAGACTCAAATTTTTTTTTTGCATTTTCGGACTCAGAATGATCGGAAACAAAAAAAGTTTTAAAAAATGGGGATAAGAAAATTTTTTCCTCTGCACGAATGCAATACTGAGGCCCCATAGGAAGGGCCTCAGTAATTATGTCCCCTAAAACCATACAAAGCCATCGAGGGAGCATTAAATAAAGGTATTTGGTTGACAAAGTCCTAGAAGAAAGGTGTAGAAATTTTAAAAAATTTGTCAATAATTAACTATCAAAATTGTTAGAATTAAAGTATATTCTCTAATCAGAACTTACCTGCTTTCAGATTAGAGACAGTATAAGAAGCTGAAATAGTTTGCGGATATTGGCGATTTAGAACCCTTCTAGTAAGGTTTCTCAAACTTATGTCATTTATATGATCTGCAATAAAGTTTTTCACTTTAATTTTTCCAGTAAATTCAACTTCATTTGAGATTCCGTGTTTTCCAGCTTCGGGTCTCTTCAAATAAAAAAATATAAAATAATAAAAATAAAAACAATAAAAACATGTATTCTTACATTTTTAGGTAGTTCTGAAAATGCTATATCATTTAAAAACGCTATATTTTTGATATGGTCGATAGTAGCGTTTCCTTTTATTGTTAAATTATTTATAACTTTTGCGGACAGTAAATTTTTTGTTAAAGATGTATATTCTTCTAAACTATGATCATTTAATTCATTTACATGTAGATTATTAACTGAAATGAAAAAATGTTAATAAACATAATTCTAGAAATGACATTTTAATATACCTATAATATTTTCGAAATCTAAATGGGTAATGTTTGTAGGGCGATCGATAAAAATTACTTTTGATAAAAAGTTCTCTACAGAATTACCATTAATGTATTCGACCTCATTTATAGCGATATCTGCATCGTTTTTAACTAGCATATTTTTGAAAGTCTTGATACCTAAATAAAAAATATATTAGTATACTTTTAAAAATAGTTACAATCAGTAAATCTTACCTGTAACCTTTTTGGGCCACTTCTTATTCAAAGCTTCATCTACATTAACACCGTCTAAATGTAGTGTTTGTAAATTTTCAGCTTTTAGTGTTTTTAAATAGGTTTTTTTACCATGAATCACATAGCTAAAATTTAACATAAGAAAAATATTTACATTTAATTAAAAACTTACTTTCCAGTGGTTTGTACAGCTTCTTTTAACAATTTATTAAAGTCAGGTCTGTGATGCGCAGCATCACTCAGAATGACATTTCCTTTAATAGTAACATTTTCAAATTTAAAGTCAGTTTCCAAACTTCTTTCATTATTATTCAACATATATTGATCTATTCTAACATTATTTAAAACTTTAGTCAGCAAATGCGGAGTTACAATGCCTTGTAAAAAATTCACAGGTACAGAAATTATCTAAAAATTAGTAGGTATTTAATGATATTTTAATTACTTTAAAAATATAATTACCTGATGTGTGTTTTTTGTCCAATAAATTTTTGTAAAATTTGGATTAACCTCAATTCCAGAAACAATTAGTTTTGCATTTGGTAATAGCTTCAAGTTTGAAAGATATAAGTTTCCGTTAATAGTTATTTTTCCAGAATATATTTGTAATAAATCCGACATTTTTGTTCCCATAATATGTCCACCATCTTTCAAAAAGAAGGAATCATCAAACTTACCAGAAAGAGTTACATTATTCAAGACTTTGAGTTTATCAATTTTAATATGCCCTAGAACAAATTTTTTTAGCTTAACAATGAGTGTAGCTGTTTGTTATTAATGCTACTATAAAAACGGAAAAAACAGTCAACAGAAAATTATATAAAAATACCTTGAATGGTGGTATTTTCGTTAGCGAAAACCACATCTTGTGGAATTTTTATACCATTTACAGTTTCTAACTTTAATTCATTGGTAAAAATATTTTCAAATTCCATGTTTGATTCAATAATTTGATCTGTTGTCTTCGTTAAAAGATTGCTCGCATCAATATCTTTGATTTTCTTAGCAGTTAGTTGTTTTGTTATTATTTTTTTAAAAGTTATCGGTCCTAAAAATAAAATGTTAATCCAATAATATAAACACAGCTTTTATATTATTTACCTGTAATTTCCTTGGTGATATTAATTCTAAACACATTTTCTTTTAATTGATTCCAAGGAATTCCATTAATGGTCTCAACCTCTAAGTTTTCTACAGTTATGTTCGAATCCAAATCCAAATTTGGTGAAGATAGTACAGAAGATATTATCTCATCGGGATTATCCTTAATAAATAAATATTCTAATATTAGATAAATGGTTAAAACATGTGTTAAAAATGTTACATATCAAATTTCCATACTAAATGGATAAGGGAAATCTTCAACCTCCTAAATTTTTCATTTCTAACATGGTGTTTTCCCAATAAGTGTTATTTTCTCCAAACTCGGTCTTTTTTGTAATCTTTTACTGTAGTTTTTGTTGTGATTCTGGTATTTCTTCGGACTCTCTTTTTGTAAGTTCGAATAAATCGTTTCTGGGTAATACATATTGTACATTTTTCCTAGTTTCGTGTGATAAATTTACTCTTAGGAATTAGTAGATAATTTGTGAAAATTGTCAAAATGTTTCATTTTGTTTAAAAGTTTGTAAAGATAATAAAATAAATATAAATGTATTGGAATGAAATGACAATTGCTTCCCCCTCCCCCTTCGAGACTAATAATCCTAGTATCTTTTAACCTTGAAATCTAATGAAAAACAATCAGTCCACGCTTTGAACACAGCAAATTGCCCCCTCTCCTTGGACCGGTTCTGAATCCATCCCTGTAATTAAATATAAAAAGTAAACAAATTACCTTATTTATGGAAGTCAAATTGAATTCGTCGGCATTGAGATATTTGAAAGTTTTGACTCCTTTGATTTGTTGAGGTTTATTTTTGTAGTATACTTCTTCCATAGGAATACCGTTGACCTTTTTTACATAAAGTTTTGACACAGTAAGAGATTCTATAGATACGGAACCATTGATGGTTTGGTCCATATTTTTCAGCAGCAAATCTAAAAAAAAAAGATTAAATAATTTAGTACAAATATATCACTAAATAATAAATTTCAAATTACTAATTTTAAATGAACTTAATTTTAAAATTTGTAATCTCTATTCTGTAATTGATTAATATCATTTAAATCAATCGCTAGACCTAGAGCAGTATGAAATTTAGAATTTGATATGTATTTATGTGGATATATACACTAAGGAAGGATTTTTGAAAAGGGGGTTGAATAGTTTTCTTTAAAACGAATAAATTAAAACATGGAAAGTGTCAAAGAGGTGAAAGTCTGTATTTACATTCTCCATAGAAAGAGACACCGCTTTGCCAGTTGGGAAAATCAAATTAGAGGGTAATAAAAAGTGGAGAGTATTTTCTTTTGTCTATCTATTTACAATACTATACCTTTAAATAATGGATCAGTTGAAGATGTTTCTACTTCACTGGCAGTTATTGTTTTAACTTTAGAGAAACCAGATATGGTTTGCGGTTCAGTATATCTAAGCCACTGTTCAGGTACCCATTTTTGTCCATTTATTTCTTTGATCACAATGTTGCTTCCGGTGATTTTTTTAGAATTAACACCTCCTTTGAAATTCACTTTACCATTAATAACCTGGAAAAAAATATTAAGAAATCATATAAAAATAACTACCCTTTAATAGCAAAGATTTGGAACCGACTATATGTAGGTTTTAAGTTTGTGAAATATAAATATCTAACATATTAAATTAAAGAACATTCTGTACTTACAATATTATTTTCAATGGGGAATTTATAGTTGTCCACAGTTGAGTTTATTTCAGCAAATTTATTTTTAAGAATGTGTATTTGATTTTCTATGTCACTTTCCTAAAATAAAAAAAAAATTAAAAAAACTGAAAATTTGAAAATAAAACCATGTACCTGTTTTAGATTTTCAACTTTTAGTATTACTTCCCTCCGGAATCTAGCGTTTTCAGATAATTTCTTTTTTAGTCCAACTAATTTTTTGTTTGCGCTATCTACTTTGATTTCTAAAGCCTTAAAACATTCCCTTAGTATGTCTCTATCTGCCAAATTTTGTTCTGTAAATAAATATATATTTAAGGGGGTGGTCAAACGTTGATACATAATTTGGATCCCAATTATGTCTTCCTGACGATTGATCATTTTGTCAAATTGAGATTCGTTGCAGAACTCTTGTTTTTCTACATTTTACCTCTTGAAATTATTTTAAAAGGTGGTTAAAAAAAGTAATACATGGTTAAAAATCGGTGCAAGCAGTTTTGAAAATTATCAACTTCGGGGAGCCAGCTGGCACTCAGCCTTTATTTTTTTTTAATATTTATATTTCTGAGAGTGTGAAAACTAAAATTTTTGAATTTCAGGGGTCCAGCTTTACCACAACCTCGATTCAAATTATTTATAAAATATTACAAAAGTGCACTTTTACTTACCTGTGTTAGTAAAATTATATTTTAAGGAAAAAACTATTATTTTAATAATATTTTTCTCATCAGACTCAATAATATAAGTAGTTCCATTTTTGTCTACATGAAAGTCTAACAATTTAGTTAATTTTGACGGATTCTGTATTTCATTTTCTAATTTAATTTTTCCATAAATTAGATTATATATCTGCAATTTGTTCTAAAATAAAAGAAATATAATTATTATATCCCCATAAAATAAAATAATATTTTTGATCTTACTGAAAAAGAAATTCCAAGAAACGGAGTACCATTAAGTATAAAAATTTGAGAATTATGAACCATTTCTTTTGTTTGAAATTTGCTTCGAACTGTGAATTGATAATCTGGAAAAAATATTAGAATAATCTCCCTACGAATCATCCCGATACGAGTGAACCCCAGAAAGCACTGTAGTATAATAATTAATCATGATTTAAAAATAATATTTTTATGCATAAACCTACAAATAGTTTTAAATAACTTAAAATCGTGAAACCGTTAAAATATTTTCTTTTTTGTTGATAGTAATGTTTGTTGTATCTTCATTGACAAAATACCAGAATTATAGATAATGCATGTAGAATTTTATAAAGTATATTTGCATTCCTAAAAGATTAATAGAAATTTAAAATATTTACTTACCATTCCATTCATATATAACGTTGTTTCCAATTCGGTTAAAAATTATTAGATATTTTTTATTTTTGCTCGTGTATGTATCTAAATGTACACCATGATAAGTTTTTAATAGCTGTATCTTTTTAATTTCATCATTATTAAATTTAAACACTGCTGAGGATAACTAAAAATAATAATTTAAAATTATCTGCATACTATTAAATATTAACAAGACTCACGGCTTTGTTAGGTATATCTTGTAAAATTATAATAATTTCTGCAGTACGAGTAGTAAAAGATCCAACTTTTATTGCTTCAGTCGTAAAAACTGTTTGAATTTCATCAAAATGAAACCCTAGCCACTTACATATCCTGAAAAATAGTAAAAAACATTCAGTTTCGTATTTTATAGTTGAGATAACGAAAAATTTTCTCACGATGATTCTGCCATGCTGTCTCCTTTGTTGTTTACCATTATCAAATATAGATTATTGTTGTTAATAAAAAAATGAGCATCTCTAGCATAAGGTGACTTTATGTTTTGTATCAAATTATAGCTACCATTTATTAATTGGTAAATATACGAGTCTCCAGTAACTTCTGAATTAAATACTATAAAGCTAGTACTATTAAATATAACACTCTAAAAATGAAAGGACCTTTAATACTATCGAAAAAATAATTTAAGTATTTTATACCTTGAAAAATGTTATAAATTTATTTTCTGATATTTTTTTCAATCTACCCATATCTTGCCGTGAAATGATCGAATTATTAATTATTTCATAGACGCCATTTTTAGTAAGAATATGCGTGGTATTAAACAATGAAAATATTTTAATATAGTCAGTTAATTCTGGGTAGATGCCTTCTGGAATGTTTTTTACCATAACAAAATTAGAATCTAGAAATAATACTTTTATATTACTTGAAATAATTATAAATAATATGTTCTTCTTTACCTCTTTTATGCTGTAAGTGGTTTTTTTTATTAATCATCTCTTGAAGATAATTGCCTTTTTGGTTAAGGTATTCGTTGAGGTCCAAAATTGTGGCATTGTACACGTTAAAAAAACAAGCATTCTAAAAAATGAATCTTCTAATTATTTATTAAATACACATGGTTAAAATATTACAATGAACAAATACACAAAACACTTTTTCATTTTATATCACTAGAGTTGTTGACTAGACTACACAGAATATTTTAAAACGTGATAAAAATCACCGAACAAAAAATCCGTTGCTTTGAAAAAAGTGCCAAATATTAATGCTAATACTTTATTCTCACTTTTAAATCGATTGGAGTGTTTTATCTGTTCTTCGGTAGATGGCGACGAATGTTTCTATTAAATGCAAGAAACTTATTATTTGCCTTTTTTGAATAATTATATAAAATTCTATTTTTAATTATTTATTGGCATTTTTCTTCTGTATTCCTGTTTCTCAAAAAGAAATCATCTACATAAAAAAAAGTCACCAAACCAAAAATTTATAAATTTATACAAAAATGAAATGTGTCAATGTCTTACATTTATTTTTATCCCAGAACCTGTTCTACTTTTAATAAAATTTTATCTCTTATTAATAAATGATCAATTATTATTACCTACGGAGATTTTTTTCAGAGAAACAATAGCCAACCATGCGTTCCATCAGTAAATTAAAGGATGCCATGAACCTGGCAATTCAAATAAATTGTACTATAATCATAAACTGAAATGCTCGACTAAAATGGAACCGTTATCTTGGTGGACATAACAATTTGAAAGTTTAATTGTCGAGTTAACTACGACTTTATCCATTACTGCATGTTAATAATGGGATAGATGTCATTTTGTAGGAAATAAAACATTATAGCGTATTGACCAGCACTCTCAATAAACAGGTAGTCCTAACAACTGATTCTTATCTCTTTTATAGGAAGGATCTAACGAATTATAAATTAAAAATTTAATGAGAATTATTGTGATATGAGGATTGGAAGATAACACAAATGAAATACCCACTTTTTTAAAGTACCTCCATCTATAGGTCTATCGTACAGTTTAAATTATATAGTATAATGTAAATGAAAACTGTTTAAAGATGTCCCTCCCAAAATTCTAAAATTTTTGACTGTTTGACAACCTAATAACTTTTTGAGACCAATCATAGATATCAAAATAAAAAAAACTAAAGGCTGAGTGTTCGCTTAGTTTAATTACCCATTAGATTTTTTTAACCACATTTCAAAATTTGAAAAATCTGAATGTATCAAATGGGGGAAATATATTTTTTTGTTATCTTAAAATTTATTAATTTTTTTATCAACCTTTTATTCATTAAAATTTTTTTTTCTACTGCTAATTGCCACGATGATTTTTTTTATCAACATTAAAATGTGTCCAATGGTCCTCCATTTGAATATTTTTTTAAAGAAATATCAGATTTTTTGTTAAATATCTCGGCATCTGTTTGAAGTAGGAATATGCGGTCTACGGCATTGAATTTGGCTTTAAGAGACTTACAACACGATATATACTGGGTGTGCGTAATTGTTCAATATTTCAATTTGTGTTATAGATATGTAAACAAATTTCAAATAAAAAATGGATTTAAAAATATTTTTGGATATACAGGGTGTTGCGTTTTTACCTGACCAATAAAAATGTATATTTTTAAATTAAACATCCTATAAACGTGGAGCTAACTAAACCAATACTTTTTTAAAGCAAAACACCCTGCAGATAGTTATACATATTTGATTGTTTTCACATCGTCAAACAATTTTAACAGACTTCATTCATTTGCTATGTTGTATAAACAGTGGCGTACGGTGACATTTTTGGAAGGGGAAGCGATTGTATAAAAATACAGCAGGCCAGTAAGCACAGCGCCGCAGACGAAAATTAGATTAGAATATTGTCATCTTGCCATAATAATAAAATAAAAGAAACAGAATTAATCACAAGGAGTTAGGTCTGTTGACCCTGGTGGCACACAACTGATTCATTTCGACTTATCTTCCTATTTGGGAAAGTAATGCGTAAAAACTTATTATTTTTCGACTAAAACTTGTTTTTTAATTCTTTCTTGTGTGGTTACCGAGATTATGAGACCAATCTTTGTGATTTTTTTCATATTTTTGAGATTTTTTAAAAAGTTTTTTGAAAATGTTATTTGTTTATTTTAATGACTTTCTACAGTTAAAAAAGTATTAACCTATATGTACTTTTATTGCTAAATAACCGAAACTAGATTAATCAATTGATTTTCCGGTTGGTAAACAAGATCCGGTAATTGAATCTCCCAGTAAAAAGGAGGAAAGTGTCAATAAAAATCATTATCCAACTAAAAAATTTCACTTTGTTTCCTATTTGTTCCGATGGAGAATAAAATTCTCCCCTTTTAATCAAAGAGCCAAACCAACCTAATAAACATTGATTTTAGGAGTCGAAGTCTTTGAAATCTTACCCATTTCTTTCTGTTAATCGACAATAAAGCGTTACTAGATTGGAAGTGGAAATTTTAAATCTTTCTTTGTGTCTCCTAGAAACTAGGAGGGTGGGATTAATCTGACATTGATTCACCTTGTGCTCCAAAATTAATTCATTATCATACAAATCGGAACGATTTTTAAAACATCCCCCAAACAACTACACAAATTTCACTTAATTTTCCCGCACCTGTCATTTGGTCTATAAGTAGCCGAAAAAAATTTGTTTTTGATTTGATGATGAATTTAATGAAACTGATTTTATTTTCTGTAAAAGCACAGTGTGTGTGAAGTGCATAGTTCCGAAAGGAACTCTTGGTTTTGAGCTTCTTAAGTATATCTTAATAAAGAAAAATCGCTAGGTGTAATATAAATAAAGTACTAAAACACTATAAGTGAATTTTCAAAATATTGTTTAATTGTATTAAAAATAAATTGATTTTGATATAGATTTTTCTTTTTCCACCCAATTGATGGTGCGAGTTGGAGCTTTTTCTGTTTCCCCAATCCAACTGTCAACCGGACGATCGGACTCTTTGTACATTAGAGCAAATTTACATACATTTGCATGTGGTGATTACTGGTCATTTATAAACAAAGTCGGTTTCTGTCATTGAAAGATTACGCTGTCAGTCAAATTGTTCTGCTATATTTTACGCTATTCTTTCACATGGAAAATGATTGCATAAATGACCGGCAATCATCCTAATATCTAACAAAATACGTATTCATTAATATCTATTAACCAAAACGTATAAGGGTCTTCCGCAAACCGTATTTAAAAAAAAATATTTACCAATATTATATTTTAATTTTGCTGTTTAATTTATAAAAAAAAATTCTGGATTGTGAAATCGATGTGCCTGAAAAGATAGGGTGCAATATATTCGGGTTATTTTTCAATTTCTATTCATATATTTCAATTTTCGAGTGACAAAGTAAGGGTTGCGAGAAATGGGGAATGCTTTAGCTTGCTTAACTCCGACGAAGAGGGGAATTACAATAACAAAGCACATATTCTTGTTGAGAAATCACCACCATAATTTGATATATTGCGTGCTTTTATCACCTTAAATTTTTAAAGTAGCATATTTTTCAGCCAATTTCAATGAAATTCAGAGAATGTATATATTTATTTTTATTTTTATTACACAAACTTATTAGTTCACGTTTAATCGATTCTAGAATTTGTTCTTTGAAAGTCTACAAAGTAACAAATTTGTATATTTTATGTATTTCGGTTTATAGGGTAATAACCAATTTGTAGAAACTAATAAAAGAGGAAAATTAACTTTTTAATTGCCGTAATCTGACCAAATGGCTTTCGTATTATATAGTTTGTTGTAAACGTCTAAATTTTTATTATGAAAATAAAACTAGTGTCAAATTCATTGTTATACTAGCGCCTAATATTTCTAAATGACTTGTTATTAGTCACCATAATTAGTTTTTTGATTTTGAAACACATTTACGATGGTTTTATAAAAATAAAAAGTAATCCATAAACTATACTTGAAAAAGATATAACAAAAAAATTGACTTTTTTGTTATATTAATAAATTAAAAAATGTTTTCATAAATACATCAAGGGCAACTCCAAGGGGGGGGGGCAGCGGCTATAGGAACAATGCCCCCCAAGATGACAATTCTTATGATTTATAAGCCGTTTATTCAAAAAAATATGCTAAAAAAGGAATATCTAAAGGCAATGGCCCCACCCGAAAATTCGTCTTTGAGCCGCCCTTGAAATACATACCACATATTCCTTATACCAGTGGCGTAGCCAGCCATTTTTCATGGTAGATGTTTCTGAAAACTATGAGGGGTTTTTATCAAGAAAGTAAAAACAAACACTCTATAGCGATCAGCAGTGCCGACTAGAGGGGGGGGGGGCGGCAGCCGGAACTAATTCCCGGGGCCCGGGCTCAAATGGGGGCCCGGCAGCGGTGGTGTTTGTTACTTTCAGTAATTCGACACAAGGAGGGGAAGTTCTTACGTGAATATCTTTTTTTTTAGATAAATTCAAGCAGAGAGGGGGAGAAAATTTTTGTTTGAGGACCTTTTTTTTTAATAATTTTTGGTTGAAGACCTTGGGGCCCGATCTGGCTCTCGGCGGACCTAGCGATCAGCGCTAATACTGTAGCGGAAATGGTGACGCAAGGACCCTCCATGGGGGGTTTTGACATTTTATATTCCCAGAGCATATTTTTAAAGTTTTTATACTTTCTAGAATGTTTTTTTTTTGGCGAATTTTGTTAGTTGTAAGTCTAAAAATTACTATTTAATGTTTTTTAGTCGTTTCAAAGGTAATTAAATTGTAAATTGTATATTGTAGAATATCATTACTAATTTTTTACGCAGGTTTCCTACAAACTTTGAAGCAATGGAAATTTGGATTCAAAACCTAGAATTAGGAACGGTTGAAGTTGATAAAATTAACAAAAACACTAAAATAAATTGGAAACATTTTTTAAATTATGATTTTGTTATGGATTCTGCCAGGAAAGACGAATTTAAATCTGGAAGCAATTCCTATTTTATTCAATTCTCAACTTGATCCGTCTTCAAGTAAGTTATAATAATATTATTCAATACAATACCTACAAATTGTTCATTCATTTTAAACTTGGAGTTTAAAAATTAATGCTATATTGTAAATCCTCTTTGAAAAAGTAAAATAAAACTTAGTGTTTCCTGAAAAAAAAAAAAACAATTTATGAAAATATAAACTACTCCAAAAAGTTTTTTGTATCTTCTGAAAAGT